ACAGAGCTCCCTCTAGTGGCAAGGACATACCAGCTTGAATGAAGTGACAGAAATAGATTGGCAAAGCAATTGACTTACACTATATGTCAGGCATTACTAAAGCGTGGAATTTTGATCAATCAATTTAAATCCCTGAATAACTGAGTTTCATAGAGTTTGGTTTTGTCAACCTCACAGTCAAAATTCAAATGCAGCTTTATGAATATCAGATATCTCTGTCTATAAGTCTGCTTTCCTCAGAATAGGCTTAATAGCTCGTTAGGAAGAACATTCGGAAGCAAGAAAAATCAGCAGGCCGTGCCTTCAGATAGTCTTTTTATAGATCCATTCATTCAATCAGAATTGTCATCAGTATGTTAACATTTGACAAGCTCACAAATAGATATCAATTGGTTCATGACCAAGGTCCATAACAGAATAACTTGGATAATAACAATCTAGTAAGCAACCTATGTATTCAGCCAAATAAAAACCAAAAGAACAACAGATGCTGTAAATCAGGAACAAAAACAGAAGTTCCTGGAAAAGCTCAGCAGGTCTGGTAGCATCTGTGAAGAAAAAATCAGAGTTAACATTTCAGGTCCCGTGACCTTCCTTTGCGATTCTGAGGAAGGATCACTGGAAGGATCACGTTAACTCTGATTTTTCTTCACAGATTTTGCCAGACCTGCTGAGCTTTTCCAGCAACTTCTGTTTTTGTTATGTATTCAGCCAGTTCAGTGTTCTCACAACCACAACCCTATGAACTCCGAGTATCTGTCATATTTTATTTCAAAGATTTCTGATAGCTGTCTGCATTTTTGTTTTCAATTCCCAGCTTTAACTTTGTTCAATTGCTCAACCATAAATAATTGTAAGAAATACTGAGACAAAATGTTATATAAATGTACAAAAGAGTAAAAGTCATAAAAATGATTAAATAGGAGATCTTCTTAAGTCTAAAGAGTCCAGTTTCTCTAATGTGTCTCCAATGTTTCAATGCTAGAAATATATGCTGTGCCCTTTTGACTACGTCCAATATTTACTAATGGCAGAAACTGAATGCAGTTTATAGTTAATTTGTAAGCATTTCAGTACCCATGATGTTTTCTATTAAAACAGCTTTTGAGGTCTGGCTTTAGAGTGAATGGATTTTTTACACACCACTAATGGATTTTCACTTAATTAGATTGTTTTGCTGTGTCGCAAAGCAAATAACTGTTCATTCTTATAGACTTCTGGAATTAGTTTTTTTTAAAACTAATAGGAACACACATAGCTTAGAGAGGGAGACTTTTGGTTTCGGTTTTACTTTCAGTGGTGGTAATGCTGTGAAATCCTTTGAATTGGATGGCTGTATAGACCAGTGTTCCTAAAAAGGGAACAGCATCTGAACTGAATTACTAGGTTAGAGTGAAGAGTAGTGTTAATCCAGTGTTGGGACAAATCTCTGAAGAGGTTACTTACAGCTGAGTTTTCAAGCACTCAGCTTTATAATAGCTCTGGGATGAAGCTATCTGCAGTTCCAGTCTATGAGCTGGTCACAAATGTCTTAAACCTACTGACAGGTTGAATACAGGGACTCTGAATATTTTTTCCTTTATTCATTCACGGGATGAGGTTAGGCAGCATTTTTTGTTGCCCATCCCTAAGATTCAACCACATTGCTGTGGACTTGAGTCACATGTAAGGATGGCAGTTTCCTTCCCTAAAGGACACTAGCCAACCAGATTTGTTTTTCCGACAATTGACAATGGATTCACGGTCATCATTAGATTCTTAATTCCACCATCTGCCATGGCAGGGTTTGAACCTGGATCTCCAGAACGTTATCTGGGTCTCTGGATTAACAGTCCAGCAATAATACCACTGGGCCATCGCCTCCCCTAATACTGCACAAACAGTGTTTCTGGCACTGTGCCAGGGTGTGTGTTGGGTACTTTACAAAAGTTTTATTTTCTTTTCAATTTATTAGGGAGTGTTCTGAGATTAATGAGATTATACTTTTACTGTGCGGAAAGTCTTTGAATTTGTATTATTAGCAGAAGCCAAAATTCGTCCAAGATGGCGGTGCAGTAGCAAGGCTGAGCCCAGGACTTGTCCACTCCTCTCTGCTTTCTTACTCTTTTTCATCTTTTCTTCTGGTTTTTCCTCTTTTTTCTTTTCTCTTTTTAAAGGTTGGAGATGGAGGGAGAAGGAGAAGCAATGCCAGGATGAGCCAGACACGGCTCCAGCCCAGCCTGGGGTCTCCCGGTGAGTGAGGAGCACGTCCTGGGCTGACTCCCCCATTCAGGACCCACAGGCTGAATTGAGGCCTCAGGTCTGCAGCTAGGCCCAGGCACCTGTAGGGATGGAAGTAACAGCGAAAGGTACGGTGGAGGACACCGATGACCAATGACTGGCGGTGGCAACATGAGGAGCATTGGATGGGAAGCAGGAGATACAGAACCTGCGCATCCCTAGGCCTATGGCTCCAACCTGGACCCGACAGGCATTATCGTGCTGGTGGTCAATGCCCGTAACCAGAGACTCCAGAGCCCATTATGGAGACCCAGGAACCTGTTTCAGAGACTATGCCGATGTTAAGCAGCAGCTGGAGGAGCAGTGAAGGAGGAACAGGAAGAAGAGTCGAACTCTATTGCAGTAAAATCTTGCATTGTATTCTGTGTTTCATGATTGCACCGGAGTGTGGCGACACTTTGTATAACGTCAAGAAACACTTTCACTGTATTTTTGTATACATGTGACAATAAGTCTGAATCTAATCTAAGATGGTTTGGTTTATCTTCTTTTATCTTCATTTCTTTTGTCATTTAATTTCTTGTTAAAACCCCTGCTAATTTTTCATTATTTTTATTGTTATTCTTTTATAAATTTTGAAATGTGAGCTGAAAATGAATTGTGGTCTTTGGAACAGCTTGTGGTAAAAGGAAAAGAACAGATCAAACAAGCTGTGTTTGTTTGTGAGGCCAGGCCTAGAGGCGAATTGCAGGCTGAGTCTTGATTTCATAGGTTCTAACAGATATAATGATCCTGTGAAGAGTATTGTGTTTAAACAGGTACCAGGAATTGGCTATTAATGAGTTCAGTACCTGGTTTTTGGTTCTGACAAGTCTGAAAGAGACCCTATGTTCAAGCAGATGGCAGTTGTTGAATGGTAATCAAGGCCTTGAGAAGCATTAATCAGGGTGGAACCAGAATTAATATTTTTTTTGAACTGTGCTTTTTAGGAGATGGTTCTGGGCTGCTGCTGAGGCAGCATGAAGATCTGAAAGTTCCCTGCATAATCTGCTATACCAGCTTCCAGAAGCCCAGAGAAGAAAGCTGAGTTAGAAGTTTTGTAGTCTTTGCCTGGGTAAACTGAGGTGACCCTGATCAACATTTCAGAATAAAAGCCAAAATATTCACATTTCTACCTGTGAAACAACACATCGTGAAAGCCATTCAAATAATATTGAGCCATTTTTGTTATTTGCTCTTAATCCGTTAACTGTTTGTTTGTCTGTTTTTTGTGTGGCTGGGAGCTGAAAACAAATGTTTTGGGTTTAAAGCACAGGCATTAATAATCTTACTGTGTTGTTTAATTTTCTCTCCTCTAAAGTTATGTGTGTCTAATAAATACCTGAGTCTTTTGTTAAAGATGCAGAACTGGTGTCTGGAAATTAATTATTGGCAATGTCTGAGACTGATTGTTCAACAGTCTATTAGGAACTTTTGGAGTGACTATGGTGGGGGGGGATCAATGAAAGTTTAGTTTTACTATGTTGCTAATACAGAGGTAGAAAGGCTGTTTTGGTTCACTGTCTATCCCCGTGCCAAAATATTCTGTTTTATTGTTTAAAAAATCTACAACATTGCCTGCTTAAGTTTCAGCAAGAGACAACTCCTGTTTGATATATGTATAGCTGTCAATTTTTCGCTGAAACTGAAACTAATCTGTAAATGAGCGCTGGAGGCAACATACCTGAGAGAGATAGTCCCCTTTAACTCAGTTGCAGAATAGGTTTGCTACACGTGTTGTTACTGCAAATAACTCAAACCTGCACAGGCATTTGGCACACTTGCCTTCATTGCTCAGTTCTTGGAGTATAGGAGTTGGGAAGTCATGTTGAAGTTGTATTTAACATTAGTGAGGCCTCTTCTAGAGTACTGTCCAGTTCTGGTCGCCCTGCTAAAGGAAGGATATTAAGCTAGAGAAGGTTCAGAAGAGATTTACCAGGATGTTGCCAGGTATGGAATGTTTGAGTTATAAAGAAAGGCTGGTTAGTCTGGGACTTTTTTAACTGGAGCATAGGAGGTTGAGAGGTGACTGTATAGAAGTTTATAACACCATGAGGGGTACAGATAGGGTTAATGGTAGGTTCTTTTCCCTTGGAGGGGGGATTTCAAGTCCAGGGGCATACTTTTAAGGTGAGAGGAGAGTAATTTAAAAAAGGCGCGAGGGGCAAATTTTTTACACAGAGGATGGTTCATATGTGGAATGAACTTCCTGAGGAAGTGGTGGATGTGGGCACAGTTGCAATATTTAAAAGACACTCAGATAAGTACATGAATATGAAAGGTTTGGAGGGATATAGGTCACAAGCAGGCGGCTGGGACCAGTTCAGTTTGGGATTATGTTTGGTGTGGTCTGGTTGGACCAATGGGTCTGTTTCCATGCTGTATAACTCTGAGATAATCCAGAGGTCTTTTGTACTCTTTCATGGGGTTAGCATTGATGGCAAGGCCTGCACTTGTTGCCCATCCCTAAATGCCCTTATAAGGTAGTGGTGAGCCGCCTTTTTGAACAGGTGCAGGCCATATAGTATACTGCTCTAAATGCACAATGGTGTTAACAGGAAATTGACCCAGTTTGTGGAGCTCTTTGGCCATTCTCAGGTAAATGTGAGTTTGTGGATAGTCGGTCACACAATGTTAATTGCAGGGAGTGTGATTCTGGTACCTGTTTTCCTCTCTGCCACACCTTCTTTAATCTTTTATGGCTTCAACAATTATTTGATATTTATTTGTACATCTACAAAACCAACCATCATCATTATTATTGACATGACTTACTGGAAGACATGTCTGTTCACTTAGGCGTTTAAATTTTCATTTTCTTCATCTCCAGTGGAAATTGCCTTTAATATCTTTAATACATCAGTGCTTAATAGACTTTTCTTTTGACCTATTTCGGATAGATGAAAGGAGCATGGACAGCAATTCTATCCTTAGCATACAGGAACTTCTGCTGGGCTTCATTATGTTACTTTAATGAAGCTGGGCCTTCTTTATGCTGCGACTGATTTGAGGCCAGCCAGAAAATTGCAATACATGTTTTTTGACCCGAGCCAGGTTTTCCAGATGCCCAGTGCTTGATGTGCTCCAATGTACTAGTTTTTACTGACTGCAAAGATATTTATTGGACAACCCTGTTGCAAATTGAATCAGTCTTAATAAATGCATTAAAGTCAATACGCCTCACTTCCTGAGCATTCCATAGGCACGAGCGGGCCATTTATGGACCAAAGTGAATTTTGCTCAGGCTAGCCCTTAGTTTTATTTTCTGTGACAGAATATTTTACTAATGCTGGCACAAGAGTGCGTAACAATTCGAAAAAAGAGACGTTGGACAAGACAGTTCGTATCTGAAAGGCTTAACAAACGTCATAAGGTCTGTTCCTGTAACCAGAGGAGTAGTAATGCCTTAGTTCTGAGGAATGGCCACTTGGACCCGAAACATTAACTTTGATCTCTCTCCACAGGTGCTGCCAGACCTGCTGAGCTTTTCCAGCAATTTCTGTTTTTGTTTACGCATGAACCTCATAATGATACTAATATGGAAGAATTAGATCCCTTGCTTTTAATGTAACATACCAACTATTTAGACTTAAATTATCACCTCATGATTAAGATGAGTTAGGGCTGAATAGGGGCAGGAATACAGGACAAGAAGTGCACAAGGACAAAGAAACATTGGAGTGCATACAGATCTCTGAAGGTAGCAGAACATATGAATAAGATGGTTAAAAAGGCTTTCAGGATCATTTCCTTTATTGGAAAGGGCATGGTAAGATGACTAGGAAATTATATATTTAAAAACTCTTTCACAATAAATGGCCAACACAAACCCATCATTTATTGCCCTTGAGAAGGTGACAATTGCCTTACCAGCAAAGTATATGTGTTGTAAGTACAGACAGAATGCTGTTAGGAAGGGAATTCCAGGTATTTGTCCCAGTAACAGTGAAGGAGTAACAATATAGCTCCAAGTCAAGGTGGTGTATGATTGGAAAGGGAATTTGCAGACAATGGTGCATCTAATACTTCTGGATGGTAGAGGTCACAGGTGTGGGAAGAGCTGTCAAAAGTGCCTCGTTGAATTGCTGCACTGCATCTTGTAGATTATACACACTGCTGCCATTGTACATCAGTGATAGAAAGAGAATATTTAAGGTGTTGGATGGGTTGTTGATCAAGCAGGATGCTTTGTCCTGGATGATGACAAGCTTTTTGAATGTTGTTTAAGATTCTCTCACCCAGGGCAAGTGAAGAATATTCTATCCCTCTTCTGATCTGTGCCTTGTGGATGATGGACATTGGACAGTGACCAGGCGAGTTAGTGGTCTCAGACATTCCAGTCTCTTACTTTCTCTTGGTACAATAGCGTTCTGGTCAATGATGATCCCCAGGAAACTGATGGTGAGGATTCAATGATAGTAACGCAGGAAGGCTGATTGCTGGGGATAGCAGATATAGAACTAGGGAGGCATTCTCTTAAAATAAGAAGCAAACTGTTTAGGACTGAAATGAGGAGGGATTTCTTCACTCAGACCTAACTGATTGAAGCAGCTGGTTGATGGATGAAATGGACTACTTTTGCTCTAATTTCTTGTGAATGTCAAGGAGAGATGGTGAATTTCTGTTTTACTCGAGACTTTCACTATATGGCATGTACGGTAGGAATACGACCTGCCAATCGTCAAACCAATCTTGAATATGGTCCAGATTCTGCTGCATTTGGACGCACATTGGTTCATTACCAATGGAGTTGTAAGTGGAACTAAACACTAGACAATCATTAGTGAACATACCACTCTGACGTAATGAATGAGGAAAGGTCATTAATGAAGCCGTTGAAAATTGTTAGGCCTAAGATGCTACCATGAGGAACATTAGACACTTATGGTACCGTAGTAGAGTCCCTACCTCTGAGCCAGGAGACCTGGGTTCAAGTCCCACCGACACCAGAAGTGTGAACAGACAACTCTGAACAAGTTATTCAGGAAAGTATCTACACTGAGGAACGTACTTTTGTGGTAGTGACCACACCTCTGGAAAAGGAGGCCTGGGCACATAATAACAACACTGAAGACATCTAGATCAAGGAACTCCTGCAGAGATATCCTTGGGCAAATGATTGGCACCAACATCTTGAACAAAGACCCTGGAATCACATGTTGGCAAATTTGTTTCCCTAAAGGGCGTTAGTGAACCAAATAATCTGATACAACAATCTGATAGTCACCAGTCCTGGGGAGGTGTTGGCCTTTCGTTATTGTCACTAGACAATATCACAGAGACACAAGTAATGTTCTGGGCACCTGTGTTGAAATCCCACCATGGCAGATTTCAACAAAACTTTAAACTTAAGAGTTTTAAGATGACCATGATACTATTGTTGATCACTGGAGAAAAATTCATCTGGCTTACTAACGTTTGTTAGGGAAGGAAACTGTCGTCGTTACTTGGTCTGGCCTACATGTGACACCTTTCTCTGAACTAAAGGTAAACTGAAAGTAAAGTTCCTTTGACACAGTTCCCATCAAACACTCCAGGACAGAGACAGCATGGAGTTCAATGCAGCGTCAAGCTCCGTTGGCTCTTTTGGGAAACCAGGAAGTCAAAAATAATAATAATGAAACAGCCCCGGTAGCGCACTGTATTGAAATCAAACAGAAATTAACTGTCAAACGAAAACTTACAGAATCTTACTAAATTAAAGTAACATTGTTTGGGGTGATGATGCCAGTCCCTGCATTGCCCACAGTCTCGAAAGGCCCCGACTGTGCCAGTGAGCATCACAAGCTGCCTCTCCCCGGACAACCAAGCGTGGACATAACTGCGAAAGAGAGACAGACAATCAGAATTGACGAGTCCCCCTGCGGCCCACTATCTGGATCACCTTGGCCAGGCCCAAGCCCAGGAGCAGGCCCATGAGAAGGCCCTCCTACTTGTCTGCCGCTCCCCACACTGGGTGCCCATAGATTAGGAGCGTGGGACTGAAGCACAAAGAAAGTTTAAGGAGCAGCTCCTTCAAAAGAACTAAAACGGTGCTGCAAACAGAAACATTCTACATTGATGTGTAATGCTGTCTCCTCCAGGCCTGGCACCCAGTGAATTTACTTAGCCTATAGTTGCATGGGACTGCCATGTTCAGCACCCTAGATAAGGGATGGAAAAGGGGAGGACCCTTTGTAGAGGGCCCTCTGTGGGGGATCTCTGTCACCAGAAGGGAAAATGGCACATCGAGGTGTATCCAGGCGACGGGTGAAGATGGGGAAGTGAAGAGTGCATGATAGCAGCCCGTGCGGGAAATGCCTACGTACTGTGCAAAAGGGCACAGGGAACATCTCCCCAAAACGGTTCACATTGTGGAACGCTGTGGGAGGCCAATATCGAGCTCCGGATGGACAGGAGTCAGTTTGTCTGGAAGCCCACTGCACATTTGAGCCAGCTTGACTTAACGTGAGGCATTGGGCCGAATGCCTCGTCCATTAGTCTCTGGGTGGCTTATGTCCTGAACCAGGTGATGACCAGATGCCACATGTGACTCCAGACCCACAGCAATGTGACTGGCACTTACGTACCCTCTGGGCAATAAATGTTGACCGAGCCAGTGGTGCCCACATCCTGTGAATGAATATAAAACAAAACTGAGACTCACTTTTATTCCACATTTATGACTTTAAATACCATCATCTTCCACACTGGTGCCATTAAACAAACATTAAACAAAAAAAAAGAACTACAGATGCTGGAAATCAGAAACAAATATAGAAATAGCTGGGAAAACTCAGCAATTCTGGCAACATCTATGGAGAGAAGACAAGTTCATCTTTCAGATCCAGTGACCCTTCTTCAGAACTGATTGTAGATAGGTGTGTGTATATATATGCTGAAGATGGGGCAGTGAAATGAGTAAATGATAGATGGAGATGAACTCCAGAGAGAGAGAACAACAGTTGAACAGACAAAGGAATGGGTAAAGGTTAGCCTGGGAGAATCAATAGGTGCTAATTGCAACCATTAGTGTCTGACAATGTGTTGTTTGTGGTAACAGTCAATGTGATGAAAAGGCCTGGTGTGTGGGGCATAAGGACATGGGAGAAGGTATTCAGGCCTTAAAATTATTGAACTTGCTATTGAGTTCCGAAGGCTGCAGGGTTCCCAAGCAGAAAATGGGATGCTGTTCTTCCAGCTTGTGCTGAGCTTTGCTGGAACTCTGCAGCAAGTCTGAGACAGAGCTGTTGGCCAGGGAGACAGTGGTGTGTTGGAATAGCAAGGAAGAGAAAGCTCAGGGTCCTTCATCACAGACAAAACATAGGTGCTCTGCAAAGGAGTCTGACCCATCTCCTGCACTTTGGCCCTCATCCCTTCTCTTCCCTCCCACAACAGCAACAGGGTCCCCCAGTCCTCAATCAGCCTCCACATCCAAAGGATCATTAGCTGCCATTTCCACCACCTCCAGTGGGATGCCACCACCAGACACCTATTCCCTTCCCATCCCTTATCAGCCTTCCAAAGGGACCATTCCCTCCATGACACCCTGGTCCACTCTTTCTCCACTCCTTAAATCTCCCCACACCCTACACGGACACCTTCCTATGCAATCACAGAAGGTGTAACGCCTGCCCATTTGCTTCCTCCCTCCTCACCATCCAAGGTCACAAACACACCTTCCAGGTGAAGCAGTGATTTATCTGCACTTCACTCAGTCTAGTCTACTGTATTTGCTGCTCATATATGGCCTGCTCTACACTGGGGAGATGAAACATAGACTAGGCGACCGCTTTGCAGAACACCTACATCTGCAAAAATGACCCTAAGCTTCCTGTTCCATTTTCAACACACCACCCTGTTCCCTGACCAACATCTCTGTTTCAGACTTGCTTCAGTGCTCCAGCAAAGCTCAGCACTAGCTGGAAGATCAGGATTACATTTTCTACTTGGGGACCCTGCAGCCTTTGGGAGTCAACATTGAGTTCAATAATTTTAGGGGCTGAGCACCTTCTCCCATCCTTAACCCAACCCCCACACACCAGGCCTTGTCATCATATTGGCCGGTACCAGGCATAACTTATTAATTATCCCCATGAGCAGCTATTAATTCTCCAAGGCTGACCTTTACCCATTTCTTTATTCTGCCCAACGGTTGTCTTTCTGGGCTTCATCTCCACCTATCATTTACTCCTCCTCTCCCTCATCCCATCTTCAGCAGAAAGACCAACCTTTTCCTAGCTACATAAAAACTGAAAGAACTGCGGATGCTGTAAATCAGGAGCAAAAACAGAAGTTGCTGGCAAAGCTCAGCAGGTTTGACCTCAGAATGGAAGGGTCACCGGACCGGCTGCCAAACCTGCTGAGCTTTGCCCGCAGGTTCTGTTTTTGTTCCTAGCTATGATCAGTTCTGAAGAATGGTCACTGGACCGGAAATATTAACTCTTGTTTTCTTTCCACAGATGCTGTAAACCTGAGTTTTCCCAGCTATTTCTGTTTCTGTCTTCAAAACATTAGACTAGGTCTCTAGATTACTATTCCAGTAACATTATCGTAAAATGTAGTTCTCCAGCACAAACCTGGTGGATTGATTGACCTCTTTCAGTACCATTAACTTGTATAATTATATAACTTTATCTGCATCACACTATTGCCTTCTCCTTTTAAAACGTATCTACCTTCTCCTTAGATGCATTTATACAACTCACCTCAACATGGGAGTGAATTTACTATTTGATATCTTGATGATGTTCCACTTTGCTCTCCCCACTAGTGTGAATACATTGACGCTTCGTGATTTTAAAAACGTCCAGTAGACCGTTCAGCCTTCTGAATTGAAGAGAACACGAAACCCAGCCTGTCTTCATCCCTAAGTCAAACAGAGAGCTGCGGATACTGGAAATCTGAACCAAGACATAAATTGCTGGAGAAACTCAGCAGGTCTGACAGCATCTGTGGAGAGAAGTCCAGTGGCACTTCTTCAGAACAGGCAGAACAGGCAGTTCTGGCTGCCAGACCTGCTGAGTTTCTCCAACACTTTCTGCTTTTTTTTTCATCCTTCAGTTCTGTATTCATCCTTGCGATTTCTCTGCACCGTACCCTCTTCAGTGACTCTGCAGAACATGCTCACCAGGACTGCGCGCACAGTGCAAACGTGAACCAGCCAAGTTACCTTCCAACTTTCGCATAACTTCCTTGCTGCTGTACGAGGCGGGTATAAGCTTCGGTTCGGAGCGGGCAGGGACGACGGGCTGAATGGTCTCCCGCGCTGTCAGCGGCAGACCCTCCCTCTGCATGACATCACAATACAGAACCAGTGATATTGTGACGTTCCCCAGTGGCCGGGTGAAAGAGCGTTTCGAATTGAATCCGCGGCGGCGATAGCAGCTTGTGCCGACAGAAGTTTGACTCCTGGCGGTTTCCGTGCACCCCCGGGTCGCTCCTGGCGTCCTGTTGCCTTGCAACGCGAACGGAATCCCAACGGCAGCAGTCCTCGACTTTTAGGCCGCGTTGTCAAGGGTAAGCCATCAGGAACCCTCTTTCGTACCACCGCTATAGATTGAAAACTCAAGAGTTTCGTCGGTTTATGTGGTTTTTTTAAAAAAATTATTTTACCCGGGAGTCCCCGCCAAGACTCCTCCGAAATTGAACTAAACGAAAAAAAAAACAAAGATGCTGCAAACGTGAGAATCTCAGCAGGTCTGGCAGCCTCTGTAGGGGGAAAAAAACGGGAGTCAACGTTTCGTATCTGGTGACCAGTTCTGAAAAAGGGGAGTGGGGAAACACAGGCCTTGAAACATTAACTCTGCTTTCTCTCTCCGCCGACGCTGCCAGACCTGCCGAGTTTCTCCAGCAATTTCTCCTGTCCTCTGGATTCGAGGAAAAGATCCCGCCCTCTCTTCGCGGTAGTTGGTGCAAAGGTCTCCGGGCGCTGGGCGGCCATTGGATGATACCCCTGTCAGTTAAGTAAACGTCTTCGTGACGTCAGTGGCGGTGCGTCAGCCAAACCGAGGAGGGACGCGTTGATGCTGCTTGGCCTGCTGTGTTCATCCAGCCCTGCACCTTGTTGTCAGGGACGCGTTGAGTCCTGACCGTGTGTTTTGTCAATGCTGGGTTCCGGGGGCATTGAGGGGTAGGGCTTCTGGGGGCATCTCATTGTGTAATTGGTGCCTTGAATAGCAAAATCCTTTACTTGGGGGCCCAAAGCCAGGCAGAAGTTGTAGATGGGGTTCTTGCAAGGTGGTTGATCTGCCCTACCCAAGTTGTAGATGCTTTTCAATGGCAGAGAGAAAGGATTTTGGAGTCAATTAAAGTGTCTGGCTGGAGTCTTTACTCCTGACCTCACGCATAAGAGAAGATGGGATAGAAGCAGCTAGGATGTGTAATAATCCTTTCAGATTTGAAAGATCTGTGAATACAGGCTTGGGGGTGACAATGACTGAGGTTGCAAATTCTGAAGTTAGTGTGCCATCGGACAGGGAACAGTTGGGAATTGGCAAGGATTGCACTTGGGATAGTTTTGGAGGAACTCAGCCCTGCAATGAAGAGGCTACTTAATGTCGGTTAGCTCAGTCAGTTGGATGCCAACAGCAAGGGTTCAAAATCCATAGCAGCTGCAGTCTCAGTGAGTATCTCACTGTCTCATCCCTGCCCCTCACCAGAGGTATAGTGACCTTCAAGATAAACCACTGCCAGCCATCTCTGTGTCTCTCAGAAGAGAGTAGCTCTGTGACCATCTAAGACGATAGTGAGTTTAGTCATAGAGCCATAGAGATCTACAGCACAGAAAAGGCCCATCACATTCATGCCAGTCCAAAATAACCACCTATCTATTCTAAGCATGTTTACTAACACTCAGGATTTATCAGCATTTATTTCTTTAGCATTTCTTTTTCACTCTTTTGTATTTCCTTCATTACCTCCTTCCTAATACCATTCGGCTTCCTTCTCATTTCTGGGAGTGGATTTGTGTCTTCTTATAAAGTCATACAGCATGGAAACAAGCCCTTCGGCCCAACTTGTCCATGCAAACCTGTTTCCTAAACTGAAGTAATCTCATTTTCCTGCATTTAGCCCATATTTTCTCTAAACCTGTCCTATCCATGTACCTGTCCAAACATCTTTTAAATGTTGTTGTAATTGTACCCACCTCTACAACTTCATCTGCAAGCTTGTTTCTTGTATGCACCACTATCTGTGTGAAAATGTTGCCCCACAGGTCCCTTTTTAAATCTTTCCCCTTTCACCGTAAACCAATGCCCTGTAGTTTTGGACTCCCCTACCTTGGGAAAAAGACCTTCACAATTCACCTTTTCTATGCACCTTTTGATTTTATAAACCTCTATAAGGTCATCCCTCAGCCTCCTATGCACCAGGGGAAAAAAATCCCAGCCTTTGCAGCCTCCTTTATAACCCAAACTCTCCAGTCTCGGCAACATCCTTGTGAATCTCTTTTGCACCCTTTCCAGTTTAATAACATTCTACAGTAGGGCAACCAGAATTATATGCAGTACTCCAGATGTGACCTTACCAATGTCTGCTACAGCCATAACATGACGCCCCAACCCCTGTACTCAGTGCTCTGACTGATGAAGACAATAGTGGCAAACGCCTTCTTCACCACCCTTTCCAGCTGTCACATCACTTTTATGGAACAATGTACCTGAACCCCTAGGTTCTCTGTTCGACGACACTTCCCAGGGCCCTATTGTCAACTGTAAGTCCTGCCCTGGTTTTACTTACCAAAACGCAACACCTCATTTTTAACTGAATTAAGCTCCATCTGCCATTCCTTGGCTCATTGGCTCAGTTGATCAAGGTCCTGTTGTACTCTCAGATAACTTTCTTCACTGTCTACTGTACCATCAATTTTGGTGTCATACATAAACTTACTAACCATGCCTGTTATATTCTCATCCAAATTTTTTATTTAAATGATGAACAACAGTGGACCCAGCACCAATCCTTGCAGCACACCGCTGGTCACAAGCCTCCAGCCCAAACAACAATCCTTTACCACACCCTCTGTTTCCTACCATCAAGCCAATTTTGTGTCCGATTGACTAGCTTTCCCTGGATTCCATGTGATCTAACCTTTCTTCTCGAAAGACAGCAATGAAAGTAGCTGTTTATTTGCTCTGCCATTTCCGTGTCCTCCATTATCAATTCTCCTTTTTCAGACAATTAAGGGCCTACAATTACCTTCACTATTTCTTTTTACATTCTTGTTGAAGCTCTTTATAGTTCACATTTATTTTCCTTTATAAATGTAATCTTGTGCTGTGTTTTCGCCCTTTTAATTAACCTGTTGCTTCTCCTTTCCTGAATTTAACTGCTGCCAATCATCAGGCTTGCAACTTTTTAGTAGCAACTTTATATAACCCTTTGTTTTGGATCTAATGCTGGCCTTAGTTTATTTTGTTAGCCACGATTGGGCTACTTTTTCTGTTTTGGCTGAAATAAAATACTGTGAACCCAGGATTGGGTTAGATAAGTAGTTTCATATCATAAACAGTCAACAGGACTCAAAAATGACAGAGACGTAGAGCTGAATATTGCTAGCATCTATTGGGAATCTGACTGCATACTTGCAGTAACATTAGAGTAGGCTAAAAGTAAATCTGGCAATCATTAGGCAAGTAACAATGAAACCAAGGTGGCAGTCTCATTGAGCTAGACAATGAAGCAAATACCATTTGCCTCCATTCACGGTGCAGAGAGATTACATACAGAGGGGGAGAGAGAGAGTGAATGTTTCACAGTCACAGAGAATTATGTGAAAAACTGACAGATGAAATCACAGAAGAACTTAATAAAATAAAGGTAAGCTAGAGCCGTGAAGGCAGTTAACCAAAGCATCCTACCCTTGATTCCTTTGTTTGAGATGGTTCATAGTTCCTGAGGAGAGAGCAGCATTTACAGTGTCAGCTGGAATGACGCTCAGTTGAGTGACAGTGGATTTGTCATCAGTGGGAGTTGGAGTGTTTTCTTTGACAAGATATGTTCAAAGACAACATGACATGAGAAGAAGTTTCATTGTTGGAGCTGGATCTGAAGGGCTGGGTGGTTTTGTTTCATTGGGTATTATATAGGAGGCAACTGATTGAATGTTCTCTATTTTACTGATAAAGAATTTTGCAAGCTCTGTACTTGGAGCTGACAGTTTTGAGGCAGGAAAATAAGGGGAAGGATCGTGGCTGGGAAAGGATATTTTTGCTGTCCAGGATGATGATATCTTGTTATGTTGATGGTTCTGACCAGGAGATCAATATGAGTAGGTGTCTGATGGGAATCCAACTGGATCTGAGATTGGTGACTGAGCTAGTTGTGTGCCAGCTTCACTGAAATCTGTGCCTGAACACATTTTATGTTGAATCTCTTATAGGCTGAGGTAGGATGATATGTGTAGATGATAAGGTCAGTAGTTAGGATTTACCAATCTGCATCTTCTCAAGCTTTTCTTCAGATCTACTGATTCTTGGATTGAGATCCTACCCTGTTTTTTGATTGTAGAGTTCTATTCTGAAGAAATTAGTTTCTACACATTGGTATCATGAGTCAAAAACTCACCAAAGAAGAGATAGAGAAGCAGTTTGAACAATTCTTGAAAGAGGTATGTTTGTTATATTTTGCTATTGTATCTTCAAAGACTTGTGTTTATCAACCATTTACTTGAGGTGATCTATGCTTGGGTTGTATGATCTATGTTTTTAATAGAGCAGCAAATTACATGTAAAACACAATTAGAAATTTTTATTTGAATAGCTAATGACATATAAATCGAACAAATATTTCTTCACACTCCTTTACCTTGGAGAATAATGTGGAATTCTGGAAGATTTTGTAGACTGACTTAGCAACCTGCTTTTGAGGTCTGGCAGCGTCTGTGATGAAAAAACTCAAAGTTAATGCTTCGGGTCCAGTGACCCTTCCTCAGGTCACCGGACCCGAAACGTTAACTCTGATTCTTTTCTTCACAGATGCTGCCAGACCTGCTGAGCTTTTTCAGCAACTTTGTTTTTGTTCCTGATTTACAGCATCTGCGGTTCTTTCAATTTTTAACCTGCTTTTGAGTTGTGTAAAAGCATGCTCCTTGGCCAACAATTCATGGATTGTGACTTGAATTTGAGAGCTTCAGGCTACTATCAACTGAGCCACTCGTCTACTAGTAGTATGTTAGAATGTTGTCTGATTTATATTTGAGACCTGGTGGAATGCTTTCTGTTTCTAATCTAGACAAAAAAGTCAAAACTAACCTGAGACTATGGGCATTTTCAACCTATTACTTATGAATTTAAATCAAGATACTCTGAAATTATTAAAATGTATATACTTTACCATTTATTTTGGAGTTTGGATTCTGAACTAGCAGCATGTTTTGGTCTGTGTGTATGAGGGTGTTTAATGGTTAACTTGTTAACATTTCTGGAACCATGTGTCATCTTAAATCAGGATGAGTGTGAGAGATTTCCTCGTGTGATAATGGGAATTTTAATTGTGAGCGTTTACGAGAAGGAAGTGTAAACACTGAAGACTTTTTTTTTGACCTGCTTTCATTTAGAAGAATGAAAAACTGATGCCTTTGCTTAGGGGGTAAGAAACATAGCTTAAAAAGCTTTAGGTTTCAGTTTGCAGAAGTCCTGGTAGAATTTAGCTGTGTGAATTGGTTATCCTGAAGGAAGGAGATAGTTTAGAACTGTTAAGAAATAGGTTACCTCAGTATAAGAATTTTAGTTTAAAACTTCCAGACCAAAGTGTATGGTTGGAACCCTGAGTGGCTTGTTCAAAGCTGAGATAGTCTAAGCTCAGTTATATGGCTAATCAAGCAAGAGGCTTTCAAACTCTCAAAGCGAAAGAAAGTTCAGTTAAACCTGTAGAGGCAAAAGAGAAGCAAACTCTCTCTAGTGCTAGATAGCTGTAAAGTGATAGCATTGGGATAGATGGTTTGTACTTTACTATATTTTGAAATCTTTCAGATTTAATTACACATAATTATTGTAGTTTATTTTATATTTTCTTTTGTGTGCTAAATTTCTGTGTTGATGTTAAAATCAAAATTTCATGCTTGTGTTTTCATGAAATACCACCTTGTTAAATAAAAGCAAAAGAAAATATGATCTATCAGCCAGATATCAGCTAATATCAATTGGGATCATGACAGTAATTGTGTTTACTAGTATAATATTTAAATGTAAATATGATATAGTGTGACACACTCCTCTGAGCCTGAATTAAAATAAATATACCCTCCACAGTTGCACTGATGTGGCGTGTACAGCTGTAATCAGTACAGAATCAGAAAATTGACGTGAAATTCAACTTGTCCAGTATTATTGTCTCCATTAAAAAAAAATTGAAAATGTTGAGTCTTGTTAAATGAGGAGCAACTGAATTTTTAATTGCATACTATATATTCATTGCTAGTGAACAACCTACTTGGCTCTGAAAGGCTAATCTTAGTGTCACACTTGTTTAAGATGAAGGAGGAAAGATATGATGATGGGATGCCATAAATAGTAACAAAACATATTTCAGCACTTTTTATTTGTAATAGGTAGATATTGCAATTGCGTCTTACTGGAGTTTCAAAAAAATGATATGGAAAGAAAGTAAAACAATATTAAATTTAGTGAGAGCTTTTACAATCTCTGATTATCCCAATGTACTTCACAGCTAATTTTGTAGAGATGGCATTATTATAACTTAGGGAAACACTGTCTTCATTTGACATTAATTAAAAATGTAAAAACCGAAAGAACTGCGGATGTCGTAAGTCAGAAACAGAATCAGAAGTTGCTGGAAATGCTCAGCAGGTCTGGCAGCATCTGTGAAGAGAAATGAAAGTTAACGTGTCGAGTCCAGTGACCCTTCCTCAGAACTGTTCTGAGGAAGGGTCACCGGACCTGAAACATTAACTTTGATTTCTCTTCACAGATGTTGCCAGACCTGATAAGCTTTTCCAGCAACTTCTGATTCTGTTTCCAATTAAAAATGTAAAATGCCTGCTGAGAACATAGTGATCCATAGCATAATAATGTGTTTCATAATAATATGTGGATTATTACTAAAAGGAATAGGTCCGAGATGGAGCTTCGAGATAGAATCTGAATTAGAAAGTTGACACCGGAATATATAGAGTTAGGGTATAGAATCAGCCCTTTTCCAAGCCGGTTAACCTGTGGTCATGATTATCTTCCTTGTGAGTGAATTCCTAATTTCCCCTTGCAGTTATCATAAATGCATGCTAATTTTGAATGTTGTGATATTTTCCATCTCAATAATCTAGAAGTGATCTTGTTGCCTTCTGTAAAGGGATTTGTTCGATTCTCTGTTCTCAATCTTGGGCTGTATTTTGTGATAAGTGACCTCAAGAAAAGCTGCTGACATACATCTAGCAATTTCTAATGTGGGTTTCACCTTTTAATTTGAATCTAGCACCAAATTGAGGGACCTTCCAACTAAGTGTGATGGCATCAATTAGTATAAGTATCAGTGATATGGAGGTGCCAGTGTTGGACTGGGGCTGACAAGGTCCAAAGTCACACAACACCAACTTATAGTGCAACAAGTTTATTTGAAATCACAGGCTTTGAAGACACTGCCCTTTCATCAGGTGACTTCACCTGATGAAGTAGCAGCACTCCGAAAGCTTATGATTTCAAATAAACCTGTTGGACTATAACCTGGCATCGTGTGACTTTCGACCTTTATAAGAATCAATGACATTAAAGTTGCATCTCAGCCAGTTAACTAGAAAGTAAAACTCTTGGATTATCCTTTGCTTTTTAGAAACTTTACAGGCAGCAAAACAAAGAATGGAACATGATATGAGAAGCTGAAGTGTCATGAACTGTCTAAAAAATTATCTTAAACAAAGGAAATCCTATTAAAATAGAAGAAAATCAAGAACATTTAAAATTAGTTTCCGAGGCTAGAAAAAAAATTGATCTGCAATAACTGGACCTTTTATTAACTACAAAAAATCCAGTTACATTTCTCTAGTAAAGTGAGAACGAGTTTATAAACTGTGATAGTAGTTAGCCACCTTTCATCACCATGAAAGTGGGTGGGGCTAGAATTTATCCTGCAGCATGTTCTTCATCGCTACAAATAATTTAATCAGATTTTGGATTAGATTCTAAACAAGTTTCAAGAGTTTTTTTCACAGATTTTGAATTTCTTCCAAAAGATGGTACTAGAGGAAATTCTAGAAGTCTTGTTCCTGACTGGAAATATTGCTTTGCCTGAAGATTTTATAACGTAAAACCAATTATTAGGTTTTTACTAAACCTTGAACAATCTTTGCATTTCTGTTGAAAACTGTTGCCTGTAAATATTACTCTTTGAAGAAATTATCATCTCAATAAGTTTATATTTCATAACAGGTAATTATAGCATTATTCCACCATATTGACTGAAAAATAACTAATTTTTCATTGAACTATCATGTTCTTTCATTGCATGCTATTTTGTTGTTCTCATAACTACACATATTACAGTCTATTTCAGATGAATCAGTTGATTTGGGAAATTCACCAAAATCTAGTGTTCTGAGTTCACTGGGAAAGCATACAAGGAAAGAAATCAAAAAAGATGCTAAACCATGGTGGATTAATGATGATGATTCTGATGAAGGAAGTAAGTAGCTGTTTTGTCCTTGTGCAGCCACAGCATGGCGTCTGTTTCATGAATGCTTACCACCGGAGGGTACCATAGCATTGCAATATGGAAGACTTTAAGTGCTTCACTCTAACATCTAAAATGCATCAATTTTTTTTTTTGGTTCCAGATTTTACTTTAAATGGCATATCCTTTAAGTTCAAGCCTAAGCATTACAGGTTATTCAAAGTCGAGCTCAAATTCACATATGGTTTCAAAGTAGTTTGTTAAATAGTTTAAGAAGCAACAGTTTAAATATAATGCATTGGACTGATAGGAAAAGCGTACAACCCATGACAGTTTTTACTGGTCCTGAAGGGTGAATGGATGGATGAAACCAATATTTGTGCTGGGATTGGCAGTTTCATATCTGTTCAGTTCTCAAAATAACCAAGATGCGAGGAAGTTAATTCTGCTGTCTCCTCCAGCAGAAGGATACACTGCCTGATGAGGAATGTCCTCACCTCTCTGATTATCCATTGATTCAGTTTGTTGCTAGGGGATTGGAAGTTTACTGTAGTTATTCTCTTTTCAAATTAATCTGGTCAAGGACCAAAGGACAGATACCCAAGGTGTACCCTCCTTCTGGTCCATCACTCTGGTTGAGATCATCTCTTAACAAATGGCAACCAGCACAAAATAAATTAACTCGAGAAAGATAGTGTACCCCCTTAACTATACAAGCACCTTGAGAACATCTATCTTCTTGGCTACTATCTTTGTTTTACCTCACCTATGGACTTGTGTGTACTTTTCCAAAGAAAAGAGAAGGAGTTGTCTACTCGGTGGTGCCTCATAATACCTCTGCCAAATTTTATAATCATTTAAATTGTTCAGAAAAGTAGCTCTTCTTACAATGTATTTAAACTGAAATTGTAAATTTTCCTTCTATTTTCCTGTTGCTTGTCTTTAATTTAATCTTATTTACTTTTCTTGTGTTTTTGCATCTCCTGGCACGTCTCTTATCATCTTCATCCAAGAACCCCCACTGAGGAGATTTTCTAAACTAAAAAGACAGCCAGCAGTCGTTGATGCTGGCATTAAAACAACGATGAAAGAAATTGGTGATGAGTGTGTTGAAAATGCACTGTCTCAAAGTCCAGGTTCCCAGGAGGGTATTTATTTTTCCTAATATGGGTGTACTGTAAAGTAGATGAGCACCAGGTTTTCATCGAACTAACTAAACTATACTTGTCCATAAAGCTTTTAACAATACATAGAAATTATGATTTATTAACAAAGTGAGAATGATAGATGTTGCATTTATGTAGCACCTTTTCATACCTTCAGGATATCCCAATGTTCTTTACAGCTAACAGATTGCTAAGGGATAATAAAGTTTATTTAAATAGCTTTTAATATTTTCTAATGCCTAGCATGCCAAGTAAATGCTCTGAGGCCCTCCCGTTGCTACCTTTCAGTGCTCCCTCTAGGTTGCCTGAGAGTGGCTTGAGTAGTCATGCCTGCTTTTATTAAACAATGAAAATCCTTCTCTTGCTGTATGGAATTACCTGTCTTCTCCATATAAGTCTCTTTTGAAATAGTGTGGGCCAGAAATACAGTATGAGGAAAATCTGTGGTGTAAACCTGGATCTTGCTGCATAAGATCATACGATGAAGGAGTAGAAGCAGGCTTTCCTGCCTATTGAGCCTACTTGACAATTCAGTGAGATGGTGGCTGATCTGATAATCCTAAACTCCACATTCCCGCCCTTTCCCCATAACCTTGATTCCCTTACTGATTAAAAATCTGTCTATTTCAGCCTTGAATATACTTAATGACCCACCCTCAGTAAACCCCTGTGGTAAAGAATTGTGAAGATTCACTACCGTCTGAGAAAATAAATTCCTCCTCATCTCTGTTTTAAAATGGTGACCGCTTATTCTGAGATTATGCCCTCTGATCCTAGACTCTCCCACAAGGGAGGTGATAGCCCCAGCACTATTATGGCTAGACCATTAGTCAACGACTCAAGAGACCACGATAATCTTTCAGGAGACCTGGGTTCGAATTCCACCATAGCAGATGGTCCGGACTACATGTGACTCTACACCCACAGCATTGTGGTTGATTCTGAATTGCCCTCTGGGTAATTTGGGATGGGCAATAAATGATGCCCACATCCCGTGAACGAATAAATGAAAAAAAGGGAACGACTTTTACGATTCTATTACTGTGACTCTATTTAACTTGTCAAATCCCCTGAGAATCTTGTATGTTTAAGAAGCCACCTTTCATTCTTCTAAAACTACTAAACCTCATATGTCTGTCTGTCCAGGATCAGCCTAATGAACCTTCTCTGGACTGCATCCAGTGCAGTGTATCTTTCAGTGGGCCAAAAACTGTTCACAGAATGTTTGGCCTGACTAGTGCATTGTCTAGTTTTAGCAAATCTTCCCTATATTTACACTCTATTCCCTTTGAAATAAAGGCCAACTCATTCCATTTGCCTTCCCAATTACCTGCTGAACTTGCATGCTTGCATTTTAAGATTTATGCCTGAGCACTTTCAAATCCCTCTATGCTGTTGCTGTCTGTAGTTTTTCTCATTTTAAACACTGTTCTTCCAGACAACTTGTATAACTTTGCATTTTCCCACAGTATATTCTATCTGGCAAGTTTTTGCCCAGTCGCTTTATCTGTTTATATCCCTCCGTAGATTCTTTCTGTCATGTCCACCACTTGCCTTGCTACCTACTTTTGCTGTATTTCAGTTTTGTGCAATTAAATTTGAATTTGCATGAATTCTTTACAGTGGGACATCTTGTCCTTTACTTAACAATTTGTTTTCTTATTTTTCCTTTATTTTCTTTCTTTGTTTATGTTCTATTTAAATTGAGTTTTTAAAGTAATTAAATGATTCAATAAGTCAGGCATGGGGAAATGTTTTCTCCGGTGAGAATAATTCAAATCAAGGGGCCATTATTTAAAAGTCAGTCATGCTATTTAGAAACTTAATCAAGAGGGGTATAAATCTAGAATTCAATTTCCAAAAGGATGGAGATGCTGGCTCAACTACAGAGTTCAAATTTGAACATTAGATGCCAGTAAAACTTTTAAAATAGGAGTGTCTGACTAAAGTTCATTGACCTGCATTGTTAAATCTGTTTTCCTCTCCGTACATGTTGAATGACATGCCAAGTGTTTCCTGCATTGTTTCTATTTTAGATTTCCAGAATCTGCAGTATTTTCGTTTGATATTAAATATTTTTTTATGCTATTTGACTCCAATAGGCTTTATTAGGTCTCAAGAGAGTTGGAGTAAAAATAGAACAGATTTCCACTTCACTCATTCCTCAATCTTCTAAAGGGAAATCATCCAGATTTATGCAATCTCATTTTGTTTTTATAATTATCATTCTGGTAAATCTGCATGTCACATGCATTGAGGGCAATATTACTTTTTCAGCTATTGAAAACTGAATGCATTATAGATGGGGTCTTCCAAAGATCTGGACAACAAAAGTATTTGTTCCTCACATTTTTATTCCAGCACCTTGAGTTAAAAGTTAACAATATGTTTGTTCTGTCAGCCTTTTTGAATTGCTTTCAGTGATTTGTGTGCATTGACACCCAAACTATTTTGCTCTTTTCATAGTTTCTGGTTTCTAAAAATGTTATTGTATGATTTGGGTAATGTCATCAGCATTCGCATACTGAAGAAATAAGCCTATTTTGCACTAAACACACTTTCTTCCCAACTTCCCTCGGTAAAATGCCAGATGTGCTCGGAATCAATAGGAGCTTTCTCAAATCGCAGAGGTTTTCCCAATCCATTGCAGAGGTTGAAGAAGAGCAAAATCAGGAGAAGGAAAGAGAGAGGATATCTGTATCTATCAGTCAAGACAGTTTGGAACGAAATGGTATGAAATAGTTTACGAACTTTGTGTAAAGCAAAAAACTGAAATGGGAGTAAAATGGAAGACAATGTGTAAATTCTTACTGCCATCCAAGAATATCCCGCCGTGCTTTAACCATTTTAATACAATGTCTGATTCATTGTAACATTGAAATTAATTGAATCTTGATGTACCTGCATTAGATCCAAGAGAAAAATATGGAAGGAAAAATGATTAATTGCCTTCAATGATGAGAGGAGGGTACTTTCAAGTTAATAAATTTGTGGATTACTGTTTTAAGTGCTTAGATTTGACATTTTCAGGTGGAAACTGTGTAGAGAACACTGCGTCATGTGTAGAGAACATTGAATTTGCTATGCATTATAAAGTACTCTTCAAAGCTAACAGAAGTTGTTTTATTCATTTTTAGACTCCGTCATGGCATCAGGGCCTCGGCAAAGTACTCCAGGAATAGGACTGGACACACTTGAAGAAGAAGAGGAGAAAGTGAAGTTCTTTGCTAATCTTGAGAAAGGAGCTACCTCTACAATCGACTATTCTCAGCTAAACAAAGAACTTGAGTCCACAGATTCAATACCTCTGGCTACTATGAATCAGTAAGAAAATTCCCTCAGGAGAACTGCAAATATTCTTCAACAACACAAGACTTCGAATGTTATCCCAGAAGTGTTCTTTATAAGACCATAAGATGTAGGATCAGAAATAGGCCATTAAGCCCATGAATCTTCTCTGCCATTCAGTGAGATCATGGCTGATCTACTAATCTTCAATACCACTTACCTGCTTTTTCCCACAGCACTTGATTCCCCGACTGATTTAAAAAAAAAACTTGTCTGTTTCATCCCTGAATATACTTAACAACCTAGTTTTGACAGCCCTCTGCAGTGAAGAATTCCACAGTGTCACTACCTTTGGAGTGAATAATGCCTTGTGGTCCTAAACTGTCACTCCAGGAAAAATAGCTTCACTGCACCTACTTGTCAAGCTCCAAATGTAGCATATATTTCAATAAGGTGTCTTTCTTCTCAACTCCAATGAGTAGAGGCTCAGACCTACTGACCTCTCCTTTTAAGAAAATCCCTCCACACTTGTGATTATCCTAGCGAACCTTCTTTGATCTGCCTCAAATGCCGGTGTATCTTTCTTTGGATAAGGTGACTAGAACTATTCAAAGCATTTTAAGTCTGGTCTAATTAGTACTGTACATATTTTTTTCAAGACTTTCCTATTTTTAAGCCCGTTCCCTTTAACATGAAGGTCAACATTTCATTTCCCCTTGCTCTAACATGCTGAACTTGGATGCTAGCTTTTTGTGATTTTATGCATTAGGATCTAAAATCTCTCTGTGCCACAATCATCTGCAGTCTTTCTCCATTTAAATAATATCTTACTTTATTCTTCCTGCCAAAATGTGTAAGTTTACGTTTTCCCACATTAAATTTTACCTGCCAAGTTTTTGCCCACTCAATTAACTGGTCTATATCCCTCTGAAGATCCTTTATCATCCTTACCACTTGCCTCCCACCTATTTTTGTCGTCTGTAAACTTGGCAAGAGTACAATAATTTCTCTCATCTGAGTCATTTTATATAGGTTGTAAATAATTGTGGGCCTAGCAATGATCCCTGTTGCTCTCTACTAGTTACAGATTGCTATTCTGAAAATGCCCCCTTATCCTAACTCTGTCTTCTATTAGTTACTCAATGTTAGTATACCACTCCCAACACCATGGGCTCCTATCTTATTAAGTAGCCTTATACCTTCTTAAAGATCCTAATATATTACATTTATTAGTTCCCTATTATCTATGCTGCTTCAAAGAATTCTAACAAAATTGCCAGGCATGGGTTCTCCATCATGAAGCAATATTGACTGTAAAGTCCTACAGTCATACAGCATGGAAACAGACCCTGGTTTCCCAAACTAAACTAGTCCCATTTCCCTACATTTTCCCCATATCCCTCCAAATCTTTCCTATTCATGTATCTATCCAAATGTGTTTTGAATGTTGTAATTATACCTACCTCTACCACTTCCTCTGGCTGTTCATTCCATACACAGCACCCTCTGCATGAAAAAGTTGCACCTCCGGTCCCTTTTAAATCTTTCCTCTTTCACCTTAACTAATGCCCTCTAGTCTTGAACTGCCCTACCATAGGGAAAAGACCATTGCTATTCACCTTATCTATGCCTCTACTTATTTTATAAACCTCTAGGAGGTCACGCTTCAATCTCCTAGGCTCCAGGGAAAAAAATATCCCAGCCTATTCAGCCTCTCTTTATTACACAAACCCTCCAGTCCTAGTAACATCCTTGTAAATCTTTTCCTACAGCAGGACTAACAGAACTGTATGCAGTACTCTGAAAGTGGCCTCACCCATATCCTGTAGCGCCACAACATCTGACCAACTAAGGCAAGCATGCCAAATGCCTCCTTCACCACCCTGTGACTCCACTATGTACCTGCACCCCTAGGTCTCTGTTTGACAACATTTCCCAGGGCCCTACCATTGAGCCCTGCCCTAGTTTGCCATACCAAAATGCAACACCTTGCATTTATCAAAAATTAAACTCTATTTGCCACTCCATAGCTCATTGGCCCAGCTAATCAAGATCCCATTATACACGTAGATAATGTTCTTCACTGTTCACTGTACCACCAATTTTGGTGTCATCCGCAAACTTATTAAACATGCTTCCTATATTCTCATCCAAGTCGTTTATATAAATGATAGACGACAGTGGACACAGCACCAATCACTGCGGAACACCACTGGTTACAGGCCTCCAGCCCAAAAGACAACCCTGTACCCACCTCCCTTTGTCTTTGGTACCCAATTGACTAGCTCTCCCTTAATCCATGTAAGAACTTTACTGACCAGTTTACCATGTCGAACCTTGTCAAAGGCCTTGTTAAAATCCATATAGACAACATATACTGCTCTGCCCTCCTTTTTCCTCTTGGTTACGTTCTCAAAAAAACTCAATCAAGCTTGTGAAAACAATTGCCCACGTGCAAATCTACACTGGCTATCTCTAATCACTCGTTGCCTTTCCAAATACATGTAAATCCTGTCTCTCAGAATCCACTCCATCAACTTGTCTGACACTGACATCAGACTCATCAGTATCTGCATGATTCTATTATGTATTTCTAAATGCTCTGTCATTAGATCCTCTATAATTGACCCTAACATTTTCTCAATGACAAATGTTAAGCTAACTGACCTATGTTTACTTGTTTTCATCTTCATCCTTTTTTAAGTAAGGATGTTTACATTGGCAGTTTTCCAATCCCCTGGAACTTTTCCAAAATCTATGGATTCTTGGAAGATTACTACAAGTGCAGTCACCATCTCTGTAGCTGATCCCCTTTTAGTATCCTAGGATTTAGCCCATGAGATTCAGTGGATTTATCAACCTTTAGCCCCAGTAGTTTCCCTTGTACTTTTACTCTCGTGATAGTTAATGTATCTGTTTTCTCTCCCTTGACTTTTGTCCCTTGACTATTTTGTATTTCTGGAAAGCTATTTATGTTTTCTGCCATGAACACCAATGCAAAATATTTCTTCACCTTCTCTGCCATTTCTTGATTTTCCCCATTATTATTTTCCCAGTCTCATTCTCTAAGGGATCTGTGTTCCTTCTGGCACCTCTCTTCCTTCTTAGATGTTCAAAGAGACTTTTACTGTATGTTTTAATGGTATTTGCTAGTTTGCCCTAGGTTTATTTTCTCCATTTTTTTTGTTGGCTTTTAAAACTTTCCAAATTCTCTGGCTTACCACTAATCTTTCTCACACTATATATTTTTAAAAATTTGATCCTGTCTTTAACTTGCTAAGTTAACCACGGTTGGTTTCTTCCCTTCACTTCTTCCTGACTGGAATATTTCTTTGCTGAGAGTCAGGAAGTATAAATGCCTGCCATTTTCATTAACTGTCTTTTCTGCTAAATTCCTTTCCTAGTCTACTCCAGCCAACTCTGCCCTCATACTTTTTGATAACCCTTTGTTTAAGTTTTGCACAGTTGTTTCCATACCACATTTCTCACTTTCAAACTGTATGCTAAATTCTACCATGTTATAATCACTGTTTCTGAGGAGATCTCTTACACTGAGGTAGCTTATTAAACCTGCCTCACTACACATCACCAAATCCAAAATAGACTGCTCCCTTGTTCGATCCACAAGATATTGTTCTACAAAATTGTCCTAAATACGTTTATATAAATTCTTCCTCATAGCTACCTCTGCCAGTAAAATTTTCCCAATCTATATGAAGATTAAAGTCACCCATGATTAATGTACTGCCTTTTTACATGCCCTCATTACCTCCTGATATATTCTGTGTTTTATAGTATATCAACTGTTAAGGGACCTATAGACTACTCCCACCAGTGTCTTCTTGCTTTCATTATATCTTAGTTCCGTCAATGTGGAGTCTGCAACTTCCAGTCAAAGATCATTTCTTTCTTTTGTATTTATTTCATCGTGTACTTACAAAGCTATCTCTCTGCTCTTTCCTTCCTGTCTATCCTTTCAAAAGTCACTTACCTTTGAAAATTTAGTCTCCAACTTTGATGTCTTGTTAAACTGTCTCCTTAATTGGCTATAAGATCATATCCATTAACTTCTATTTGTGTCATTAATTCATTTATTTGTTATGAATACTATGACATTTAAATAAAGAGCCGTTTAAATATGCCTTTTTTCCCAGTTGTTTTCTCCCATGCCCCTATTTGTTGCTGTTTTTTCTATGTTTATACACTCAAACCTTCCTATCCCACTGTATGTATCATGGCCTTATCAGCTGCCCTGCAATGCTGCCATATCCTTTTACATTGTAAACCTATGTATCTTGTAGAATCCCTACAGAGGGGAAACAGGCCATTTGGCCCAATAAGTCCACACCAATACTCCGAAGAGCATCGCACCCCAGATTCTATTTGCTAAATACTAAATTCTTTTCAGTTTTAAGAATCCAGTTTTATTTTTATTTTTATTTTTAGAAATGAAGACCGACTACAAGTTCTGGAGATTGAGGAAACAAAGGAAGATGAGTCCAGACTTAAAAGCACCACAGGTAGTGCTGTTAAAACTGGATTTGCGTCACTTGTTGCTGAATTTCCTTTGTTACGACTACAAAAAAAATGCAGTTATAGCTAGCAGTGTTGTTTTATTTTTGGTCTTTTCACTCCTAAGAGAGAAGAGATATACTTGTGTTGTTCAAAAGTAGCGTTACTACACTACATCAGAAAAGGTTAATACAAGATTTTAAAATTTTGAGGATTTAATTTTTGCAAGTAGGAACGTGTAAATTTAAAGATCATCACCTAAAGAACAAAAGGAGAAATTAGAATATTTTCATCCAATTAAGAAGTTGTTCAAACAGACCTAATGCATTGTTGGTAATTAAATGGTCTTTGAAAGGGAAGGGGATAAATTCAATGAAAAAGTATGAAGAGCAGCAGAATGGAACAAGTGGGTAATTCTTTGAGTGAGTGGCAAGGGTTGATAGGCATTTGTACCTATAAGATTTTATGAAATTAATTTGTAGAAATAGTAGAAATCCCTGACATCATCAACAGTAACTGCATTCTTCAATGTGGTGCAAAACATCATGTTTATAAGTATAAATCACTAAATGCTTTTTCTCAATTGTAAGTTAATTTTTCAAGAATTTTTACAGCTAGTTTATAAGTTGCTCTCACAAATTCTTTCTATAATAAAGAACAGTGGGAGTTTTTCCAAATCTAGAAGATTGTGGTATTTTGTGGCTACTAGGTATTTATATTGTTAGTGTTTGCCATATTACGGTTAGAATATTCAATTGGCTGTGCTTTGTCTGTGGGAAAACTAGTATCATTGTATTGATTACAATTTTGTGTTTATACAAATTCTTCAATTGTGTAGGTCATTTTAATTTAGAAACTTGTTTTCTGATGTATGTGCAATTATGTACCTGTAATTTGAAATGTGTCCGCAGAATTAATAGTGTTCTAAACTTTGGATTTCAGCTTCAAGACATTACAGTGATGATTTTGACGATTATTCTGATGCCAAATTTGGAAGTGAGGGAATTGGATTAGATGACAATATATTGAAGACTGAATGTAGTCCTGAAACTGTAAAGGAGACAAAAGAGCAGGTATTGTATTTATTTTGTAAGCTCGATACTTGGAACAAAAAATTCTAATATAACTTCATTTTCATGGGCCATTTTTAAAAAAATAAATGTCTGCTTGGGGCAAAAAAAAAGTGCAGTTCGTCAAAGACCAGTATTTAGCCTAATACAGCAAAATTCTGCTTTTGTGAAGCAGACTTTTCTGCCTGGTGACCCTTCAAATCTATGCCCTACAAAGCCAGGTGGAATGAAAAAAATGAATCTAGGTCTTGATTAATCAATCTCTTCCATATGCTGTACCATTCATTTGCATTTATTGAAGGAGGCAACAAACTCTACTTGAAAAGTGTAACAGACTTGAAGTCAATTGGCCTGCTGCTTTTTCTGTTACTGACAGGACCTTTTTAGGGATCTGAGCGACATAGGTGTAGGCAGGGTAAGTGACTTCATCTATGACAATAGCGCTTATAAAAGGACAGAACATTGGTCGCAGGCCCGTACAATGTACAACATACTTTGAAGAGGTAGCAGGCAGGATAGATCAAGGGGAAATGATGGATGTTATATTTTGGACCTTCAGAAGGTATTTCACATGAGGCTATTTAATAAGATAAGATCCCATTGTGTTGGAGGTAGTATATTGGTATGATTAGAGGATTGACTAATTAATAGAAGATGGAGTTGAGAATAAGGGGGATATTTTAAGGACTGAAACCCTTAACTAGTGTAGCGCTGCAGGGAAGTGGACTGGGCCTAGGGATTACCAAGGAGAAGAAAGATTATTGGAGATATGCAGGAATGTAGTTGAGGTTAAAATTAGATCAACCATGATCTCATTAAATGGCGGAGCAAATTCGAAGGACTGAATGGCCTAATCTTGTTCCTTGGTTGTATGGCAGTTACTTGCAATATATATTGATCATTTTGGATGAGAAACGTGAATATCCTATAACCAAGTTTGAAGAAGACAAAAACCGGCAATAAAGCAGGTGATGAGGATGACCCGAGTCTTCAGAAGGATATATACAGGTTAAGTGAGTGGGCAAAAAACTGACAGATTGAAAATAATTTTGGAAAGTGTGAGGTTATGCTTTAGCAGGAAGAATACAAGAGCTGAGTACTATGTAAAATGAGGAAATACTGCAGAAAGCTACGGAATAGAGGAATTTGTAAGTGCATAAATTACAAATGCTAGCATCCAAGTTCAGCAAGAAAAAGGGAAAGGAAATAGAATGTTGGTCTTTATTTCAAATGAAATGGAGCATAAAAATAGGGAGGTCTGGCTAAAACTATACAAATGATCTGTTGGTCTGACTCGTGCCAAGCTTCAAAATCTCCCCTCCCCCTACCGCATCCCAAAACTAGCCCAGCTTGTCCCTGCCTCCCCAACCTGTTCTTCCTCCCACCTATCCCCTCCTCCCACCTCAAGCCCCACCCCCATCTCCTACCTACTAGCCTCATCCCGCCCCCTTGACCTGTCTGTCCTCCCTGGACTGACCTATCCCCTCCCTAACTCCCCACCTACACTCACCTTTACTGCCTCCACCCCTGCCTCTTTGACCTGTCTGTCTCCTCTCCACCTACCTTCTCCTTTATCCATCTTCCATCCACCTCCCCCCTCTCCCATTTTATTTCAGAATCCCCTTCCCCTCTCCTATTTCTGAAGAAGGGTCGAGGCCCGAAAAGTCAGCTTTCCTGTTCCTCTGATGCTGCTTGGCCTGCTGTGTTCGTCCAGCTCTACACCTTGTTATCTCAGATTCTCCAGCATTAGTTCAGAGAGCGTTCTCTAGCTGATACCAGGTATAGAGGGACAGTCTTACGAGGAGAGGTTGAATAGGTTTGGCCTGTACTCCTTAGACTTTAGAAGAACGAGAGGCAACCTTTTTGAAGCATACAAGATTCTTGAGGGACTCGACAGGTATAATGCAGAAAAGTTACTCTCCCTTGCAAGAGAATATAACAACAGTAGAGGGCATAATCTCAGAGTAGGCAGTTACCCATTTAAGGCAGAAAGTAGCAGGATTGTTTATTTTTCTGAGGGTAGTGAGTCTGTGGAATTGTTTGCCACAGAGGCCTGTAAAGGCTGGGTCATTACATATATTCAAGGCTGAGATAGATTTTATTGAATAAGGGAGTCAAGGGTAAAAGCAATAAAGTTGAGTTAAGGATTATCAGATCAGCTGTGCTTTTATTGAATGATAGAGCAGACTTGATAGTCTGAATGGCATACTTCTACTCCTACTTCTTACCATCTTTTGACCTTATTGTCCGGCCATCCTATAGCATTGACACACTAAGTGCACAGCCACTGCTGGACAGTACTTTGACCTCTACACCTTTGCACACAGAGGCAGCCAACCATTAGGGATGTTTAAGAAGAGTGACCATGACTCAATGCCGTGTGTACACATTGTTTCCCCTGCTCTCAGATGGAGCAGTAGACTCTTAGTGCAGAGCTCCATCCATGGAGCTCGTCTATGACTATGAAGTGCTGCTGAACGTTGAGAGAATGGTGAGAACCATATACAAAAATTAACATTTATGCTGAAACTGAGAGTGATGTACAAGTCATTTTCACCCATGCCACCAAAGCGCCTTCAGTACATTTTCTTCTTCCCTTATGTCTCCGTGTACTCCCTGGTTTTGCAGCTGGAACGGAAGAAGCTTGCTTAGAAGTGGAGCCCATTGGCCTTGTAGGTTTGGTGGGACCACCCCAGAGGAGTTTCAGTCTCTAAACAGGCCAAACGTATCAAGGTCTTCTTGCCAGAGATAGGTTGCCCTTCTTCGAATTGAATTTATCCAACGATCAGAGGGAGGCAGGCACGGTGAAGATGGAGAGCTCAGCCACTTCTGGCTCCCAAAGGGCCTATTCTACCTTTAACTGTGTGCCTCCTGGCACGACTCTGATTTCCTATGACGAGGGGACACCTAGACTGAAGTCAGGGTTCCATATCACCATGCCTTTGGTCCTTGGGACCCATGGGCGTGGTGAAGGATTGCTGGTGCGTTTACGTCTCCAGCAGTCTGTGACGGTGCTGACCAGCCTCTCCATGGCAGCCAGCAACCTGTTCATAGAAGGAGGCAGTAGGTTGCATGGTTCACTGCACTTGTGCAGCTTCTGGGTAATGAGAGGCATTGTGTTCCATATACCTATCTGCCGCTGCAGCTTTCCCTTTGCATTTAAATTAAGTCCCTGAATGCTGACCCTTCAGGATTATCTCTTGCCAGTGGCTAAGCAGTTACATGGTCTCTAGCAGTCCTCCAAGTGCCAACTGCCCGGCTGTTTCTTACTCTGTTAGTTGAACAGCTATTGCTGACAGAAACTCACCAGATTGTGTACCTGCACTCTCTATGTCTACAGTTTGTCGCCCATCCCAAAATATCAGTTTCTGAGCTGGTGGAGGTGATGGCCTAGTGGTATAATCACTGGAGTGTTAATTGAGAGCCCCAGATAACATTCTGGGGACCTGGGTTCGAGTCCTGCCGCTGCAGTTTGGTGGAATTTGAGTTCAATAAATATCTGGAATTCAGAATCTAGTGAAGACTATGAATCCATTGTCGATTGTCAGGAAAAACCCATCTGACTCACTAATGTCCTTTAGGGGAGGAAACTGCCATTCTTACCTGGTCTGGCCTACATATGATTCCAGACCCACAACAATGTGGTTGACTGTTAACTGCCCTCTGGGCAATTAGGGATGGGCAATAAATGCTGTCCTAGCCAGCGACACCCTCATCCTGTGAACGAATAAAGCTGGTGGAGGGTGTAGTTGGCGGCCTTGCCGATACTTTCGCTGAGGCCTCTGTAGGAGCTTGGTGTTTCACTACAGAGGTCCAGGGCAGGCTTGCATATCCTGCAAGGCAAAAAGGTCTAGTAGCCAGTATTTACAAGTGGTATGCAATGATTGAGAGTGACAGTGGGGTTAATGTGAAAGTTGCTGTGGAATGAAGAGTGGTACTTATTCAATTGGCAGCAATATTTCTCTGTACCTGCATGAGTCATCTTCTGCAAGGGCTGGGATTCTCTCCATGAGGAAACTGTCAGACAACCATCACCCATACAGGTTCTTTCTGTCCTGTTATGAGTCGTCATCTCCTGTTATGAACAAAAGGCTTGGGTTGACAAGTGGCAAGTAATATTTGCACTACACAACTGCTAAGGACCGTTTCTGAAAAGAGAATTTAATCATTGCCTCTTGATGTGTAATAGCATTGAATCCTCCACTATCAATATCCTGAGCATTATCATTGAAAATAAGCTGAAATGGACCTGCCAAATATATACTGTTACTCCAAAAGTAGGTCAGAGACTAGGAATTCTGCTGCAAGTAGCTCACTACCATCACTGTCTTCAAGGCACAAAACAGGAGTATGATTTTTTTTTTAGAAACAGCTTTACCCCTGCCTGGATGGTACAACTCAAGCAACACCCTAAGATTGACTGCATTCAGGCCAAAGCAGTCAATGGAAGTGACATCCCACCTACCATCTTCAATATTTGCAACTGGTTTACGCCCTATTTACAAAGTTGCTGATAAAGCCAATCTTCTTATCCATGGAGCTGTAGGACTCCCAACATGTACACTGACCAGTGAAGGTATCCTGCGAAATAATGGTTACCCTTATCAAATGGTTTCTTACTGTACACTGTGCAAAGTCATAGCCTAAGACGGTTACTCTTGCCCCTGAAAAGTGTCCAATCTACCTCCAGATTACCCTTGGTAAGTCGTATCAAATGTTTGAGCAACAGGTATTGCTGTTGCATAGTAACAGTATGAAAATGGTATTTTACACATGGTACTACACATAGTATTCACGACCTACGAGGTGTTGAAATCAAATCAAAAAGACATTCTGACTACCACACAGCTGAGTAATGGATTTCATTGCTGGTGTGATTCCAGCTTTCTGCATTGGCAGGCGGGTAATGTCAAACAGCATGTCCCTTCAGCGATTCAAAATGACCAATACATTGACCTTACCCAACCAACCAACGTTTGCAAAATACTCCGAGTGATTGGCAATCGATTCTACAATTGGACAACATCTGGAAAACCCTGAGTGTGTGAGAAGTTGCAGTGATATCCAAATTAGGATTGTCAGTCAGGTTTCCATTGTGATGGCTTGCATGTACTGGAAGCTACATACATTAATACACCGTTTCCCTGATTTACGAATGGCTGATTTGCATGCTTACAAATAAGATCCCAAATTACTATTAATTTTGAGGATCCATATGCAGACATTTGCTTGTTCTCAAGAACTGATTTTTTCTTATACTGTATGGTATTCCGACTTGCATACACATCAACTTCCAAACACTCTCAAGATGATAAGCTGGGGACCTCCTGTACACAGGGCCCTGTTCTTTTGTGAACAAAAGCCTATGTTTATGCATTGCACCTGTTTAAACTGAACAAAATAGGTGACAGCTATTCACTGGTCAGGGCATTGCCTTGAGAAATGAACCAATCAGTCAATCTTGTTTCAGAGGTAGTAGGAACTGCAGATGCTGGAGAATCTGAGATAACAAGGTATATAGCTGGATGAACACAGCAGGCCAAGCAGCATCAGAGGAGCAGGAAGGCTGACGTTTCGGGCCTAGAACAATCAGTCAGTCTACCTGGTTTAAAATGTAAACAAAGGCTACTGTTAACTGTCAATCAGCATTAATTGGTGTATTCTCCACAGGAACATCTTCCCCAATTAGACTCCACTGGCTGACCAATGAGCACTGTCCTCTCTCACAATAGAAATTTTGTTTTTTTTTCCCACTTGAATTTTTATTCTGGAGAACTATCCTGATGAGTGCATCACAAAAACTTTTGACAATGTGTGTGTGTTTTTTTTCAGCAATATTCAAATTCTGTAGTATTTGAGTTAAAGAAAAGCTGGGAATGTGTGAGAGGCCAGGTAATTGAAGGACAAATTAGACCAAGTAGGTCAGCTTCCCCAGCGTAATTTTGGATTAGAGAATCTATAGAGAGTTTGTTGAAGGCAAGAAACAGACCATGTAGTTAAATATTTAATACCTGTGAATCAGGAAGTTCAATAACACTCTGCACAGGCCTCAGTTATCATGTTTTGGGAGGCAGATTATACAATAATGCAATTTGGGTGACTAGCAGACACTCGGAAAGAACCAGCCACTTGGAATCAAGAAATGCCAGAACATTAAAAGGCATGAGTCCCCCTTCCAACTCCATTTTGATTTAGCCCTCTTTCCCCCTCTCCCTACCTTTCCCTCACTTTTGATGGTTTACATTGTCCGTAACAGGCTTTGCACGCAAATGTCTGATTTACTACACAGATAACTTACTGGTGGTGGTTAATAGATAAAAACAGCAAAAAAGTCATAGTGATGAATGAAAAACAATGTTTGGTCCAGTGTGATAGCACTTCCAGATATGTGATGTGCAAAAATGACACAAGTGAAATTATTACTTCGGAATAAAATAGTAGCAAGGAGCGTAAATGAAATTTATTAACAAGAACATTTCAGATGGATGTCAGAACTCAGCGGGATAAATATGTCGAAACTTCTGCCAGATTTGAAGGAACAACAGTTGCATTCTGAATCTATGATAGGGAGTTAATATATTAGATTAATGAGCTTCACTGTGTTTAATTTATGATTTGTCCCAGCCATTCCATATGCTTACAAGAAATAACTAGGGCCATCAATTTAAGCCCTTGATGGAGAAGAGAAAAAATGGTTGCAATGGTAGATTACAGTGAAAAAAGATGGAAGGAGCTTTGTGTGTAGCACATGGACTGGTTGGGCTGAAAGTACCGTTTCTATGCTGTATACCGTGTGTAATTGCCTTGAGGTTTGCTGATTTGAATTGCTCATCATTGATGGCCATGCCTTCAGCTGCCTGCTCTTAAACTCTGAACTTCCCTCTCTTTATCTATCTGACTCAGAATCTCTCTTTCCTCCTTTACAATGCTTGTTAAAGTCTACGTTTATTTTTATTCTCCCCACTTTTAGCAATTTGCCCTAGTATCACTTTATCTGGCTCTTTCAAATTTGGCTTTAGATGTTCCTATAAAGCACCTTGGAGTGTCTCATTATGCTGAAGGTGCTGCATAAAAATAGGTTGTTGGTGTTGAATTTTCAAATTACTTATTCCACCTTCTCTTTCAGTTCCCACAACACATCATTATATCTTCTTCCTATACATGATTCTCCAAGAAGCATCCTTAATATCTCCCTCTAGGAGAAACTTGGATCAGGAGTCAATTGATAGCTAGGCCTAGAATAAAAGTTTTAGAACTCTTTCAAACACTAAATACAGTTTGAAATAATCTTGATTATTTATGTTCTTATTTTAGGATGCAGAGCCTGGTATGCTGGCAAAAGGTAAGTGCTGTCTTTGTTCATGATATATTTGAAGAATCATTTATGTCAAAGAGAACTGTTCTAATGCTTTTTGGTAGTCTTTTAATATTTACTGGTGTAGAATTTATTTTCAAACTGAATTCTAGCAGATTTTATAGACCATAAGAACATGGGTGCAATTTTAGTGGCAAATTCTATGCTACTTTTGTTGTAGAGTCATTGTCTTGTCCCAGCCTTCTGATTCCTATGCATTACAAAGCACACCCACGATCAGGACCCAGATTTCTCATGATAACTCAACTCAACATTTTATGATCTGTAACACCTAAAGATAATTTCTTTCAAAACTCTCGCCATAAACTTAAGGACATAAGAATTCAGAGCAGGAGTAGGCAATTCAGCCCCTGAAGTTTTCTCTTTGATATGGTCTCCTCTTAGCCTCAACTCTGTTTTCTTGCCTGCTTTCCATAACACTTTAACTCATTGCTGTTTTAAAAATATGTCTATCACCTCCTTACATTTACTCAATGTCCCAGAATCACTCACACTCTGGAGTAGTGAATTCTGCAGATTCACAATGCTTTGACAGAAATAATTGTTTCCTTAAAGTTTTAAATCTGCTACCTCTTATCCTAAAACAATGACCTCTCATTTTAGATTGCTCCATATGAGAAAATTTCCTTTTTATGTCTACTTTCACAATCGCCTTTAGCGTCTTATATGCCTCGAATAGATCTCCTTTCATTCTTCTCAACTCCAAACAGATTGGCTTAAACTGCTCAATCTCGCTTCACAAGACAAAGCCCTCATCTCTGGAACCAATTCAGTGAACCTCGTTTGAAATGCCTCCAATGAATCTACATTCTCCTCAAGTAAGGAGCCTAAAACTGTACACAAATCTCTAGGTGAGGTCTGACTTTTGTATAGTTGCAGCAACACTTCCCAACTTTTATGTGCTATTCCTTTTGCAACAAATGCCAAAATTCCATTTGCCTTCCTTTTGTTACCCGCTGTACCCGCACACTAGTTTTATGCAGTTCATGCACAAGGACTCCAACCAAAATGGAAAGCCTCACTCTTATCTATATTATGCCAAATTTTCCCCATTCATCTAACCTATCTATGTCAACTTTGTAAATTTCTTATTCCTAGATTGCAACTTACTTTCCCATCAATTTTGGTGTCATCTACAAATTTGGGTTTGGTGCTTTCTATCTCTGCATCCAAGTCATGGAGATAAACTGTGAATAATTGGGGCATGAGGATCGAAACCTGTGGCACCCTGTCATCTGTTATGTCTTGCCAACTTGAAAAAGACCCATTTATCCCAACTACTTGCTTTCTGTTGGTTAACCAATCCTCTGTCCAAGCTAATAAATTACCCGCAATCCTTGTGCTCTTACCTTGTATATTAATCTTTTGTGTGGCACCTTATCAGAGGTCTTCTGGAAGTCCAGATATACTACATCTGCAGGATCCCTATTATCCTGCATGTTTCACCTTCATAGATTGCTACCAAATTAGTTAAACCATGATTTATTCTTCATGAAATCAAGCTGGCTGATGGATTGATTTTTGACTTTCCAAGTGCCCTGTTATTATTTCCTTTAATAATGGATTCTCGCAATTTCTCAACAACACATGTTAAACTGGTCTATAGTTTTCCACTTTCTGCCTCCCTCAGTTTTTGAATAAGGGGGTTTTGTTAGCATTTTTACAATTCCCTGAAACCTTTGCATCCAGGGAATTTTGGAATATTGTAACCAATAGATTCACTATCTCTGTTGCCACTTCCTTTTAAGGCCAAAGGTCCCCACTAGGCCTTTGGGATTGAAAACAGACAAGTCCCCGTAGTTTACTGTGTACTTTTTTTCTCTTGTGGTGGTGATTGTTCTAAGTTTCTCTCTTTCTATAACCTCTGCATTAGCTGTTTCTATTGGGTTGATATTCCTTCACAATTATGTTGCATTCTTTCATGCAATTCTGGTCATTTTTGTATTTCCGCTTTCGGCCATTGTGTTTCTATTCCATGGAATTTCTGTTTGAAACCCTTCCACTTTTCCTTTTATTCTCAAACTTTAAGACACCTTAAAAACTCATCTTTCTAATATTGCAGTCGCTCATCCTTGTCTTTCTAACCACGGATTGGTATCCATTTCTCTAGTTCTCTAATTCCATTTGTGAAATTGTCGTGTATTTGAACATTTTTATATTAATGACAGTGTAAATTGTTTCCCTTTTAAGACATTAATATTAATTTCATATTTATCTAAATAATTTGTTTTTGCAATGTCTTCTTACTCAAACGTTTTTTACTTCCAAAGGGAATGTTACTTAACAGGGGAATGATCCACAAAAACCATCCAAAAATTTCTGTATAAATTGATCTTTTTCATTTGTCTTCCAACAGAGGTGAAGCGAGGTAAGGTTGGGAGAGCAAACAGATGAAGGATAAAAAGTAAATTACCAGAAATATGAAACGAACAGAGAGGCTGAATATATATTGCTTGTCAAACAGTATCTCGAGAGAGAATAGTCAAGGTTTCACTCATTGTCTGCCTTTATTGTTTAATTCCGAACAGCAATGTACTAGTATTGGATGAAAGGGAAGACGAAATATGTAAAACATACTAAAACATGTATCAGGGAATCAGTGGTTGATGTTATATCTGATCTAACAGAAACATGGGAAATAATAATAGAGAACAAAGAGATGGAAGACCAATTAAATACATATTTTAGTTCCGCCCTCACAAAGGAAGGCAGAAATAACATCGCAAAAATGTTGTGGAACACAAGGTTCTGAGAGAAGGAAGAACTAAAGGAAATCAGTATTAGTGGGGAAATTGTGTTGGGGAAATTGATGCATTTAAAAGATCAATAAATCCCCAAGGCCCAATAAACTATAATCCCACAATAATAAGGAAGTGGCCCTAGAAATAGTAGATGCATTGGTGGTCAACTTTCAAGATGCTATAGGCTCTGGATCAGTTTGCATAGATTGGAAGGTAGCTAATGCAACCCCAAAAATGAGGGAAAAAAAAGGAATTATAGGCTGGTTAGTCTGATATCAGTTGTGGGGAAAATGCTAGATTAATGCTTGGAATCCAAGTTTGCAGTTCACACAAATAGGTGTGGTTGAGTGAGCTGTGAAGAGGAGGCAGAGGTGCTTCAGTGTCATTTTGGACAAGTTGAGTGAGTGGGCACATGTATGGCAGATGAAGTATAATGTGGATACAAATGAGCTTATCCACTCGGGTTGCAAAAGCAGTAAGGCAGATGTTTATCTGAAGTGATTAGATTGAGAAGGGTGGGGAGTGTGGGTGCAATGAGACCTGGGCTGTCTTTGTACACCAGTTGCTGATCGTACCCATGCAGGCACAGCAGACGATGAAGAAGGCAAATGGTACATGGGCCTTCAAAATGAGAGGATTGGAGTAGAATGTCTTGCTGCGATTGTACAGGGCTTTGGTAAGACCACATCAGGAGTATGATTTTAGTTTTGTCTCCTGATCTGTGGAGGGAGTGTAATGAAGGTTTATCGGACTGATTCCTGGCATGGCAGGACTGACATATGAAAAGAGACTGGATCAGTTGGGACTATATTCAATGGAATTTAGAAGAATGAGGTGGGGGGACTTTTCTAGAAACCTTTAAAATTCGAACAACACTAGATTTTTCCAATGACCAGGGAGTCCAGAACCAGGTCTCACAGTCTAAGAATACAGAGTAGGCCATTTAGGATGAAGATGATGTGTGGGTTGGTTTGTTCTGTTGCCTGGAGACATGGTTTGTGATGCACGGTTATGCTAACAGTATGCTAACAGGCTGAGGTCATCTTCAAGATTCTACCTTTTCAACCTTGCCCCTCATCTGAGGTTAAGTTAAACTCACTACCAATTGTCTCTCTATGCCTAACAAATATGGTAGAGTTTTTTGAGGAGATGACCAAGTGTTTGGAGGAGGGCAGGGCAGTTGATTTTGTTTATATAGATTTCAGCAAGGCTTTTGATAAGGTCCCACATAGGAAATTGGTAAAGAAGGTGGGATCATGAGATTCCATGTAACGAAGAGAGGCTGGATGAGCTTGGAGCAGAGAAAATTGAAGGAAGACCTGACAGAGGTGTATAAGATTATGAGGGGCATGGACAGGGTGGATGGAAAGCAGCTTAGTTAAAGGGTCAGTAACAAGGGGGCATAATTTTAAAGTGAAAGGCAGGAGGTGTCGAGGGGATTTGAGGAAAAAATTCTTCACCTAGAGGAATGGTGAGTGTCTGTAATGCACTGCCGGGGATGGTAGTTGATACAGGAAAGCTCACAACCTTTAAAATGTCTTTGAATGAATGTTTGAAGTGTCAAAACATCCAAGGCTATGGGCCTAGTGTGGGAAAGCTAATCTAGTGGAGGTAGTATTATATTTTCAGTGGTACAGACTTAATGGACCAAGGGGGTGGCACCTCCTGGTGGCACCTCTTCTGTAATGTATGATTCTATCGTGAGGAGAATTTCTTCACCCAAGAGTGGTGAGTCTGTGGAATTCTCTGCTACAGAAAGTAGCTGATGCCAAAACATTGATTGTTTCAAGAAGACATTAGATAAGGTTCTTCTGGCTAAAGGGATCAAAGGATATGGTGAGAAAGCAGGAACACTTGGATGATCAGCCATAATCAGTCATATTGAATGGTGGAGCAGGCTTGAAGGGGGCGAATAGCCTGCTCATTTTTATTTTATATCATACTATGTTCCAGGTATCAGTTAAGCAGTAGAGAAATTAAAGGATTGAGATATTTAAACACTTAAAAATGCAAGTGATATGAGATTATCGACTGTGATCTTAGAAAAATGCAAATTAAGAGGGATCACAGAAACATAGAATTGCTACAGTGTGGAAGCAGGCAATTCAGCTCATCGAGTCCTCGTCGACCTTTGAAGAGCATCCTACTCAGACCTACTCCTCTGCTCTGTCCCTGTAACCCAGCATTTCCCACGGATAACTCACCTAGCCTGCACGTTCCTGGACACTATGGGCAATTTAGCATAACCCAATCCACCTAATCTGAATTTTTGGATTGTGCGAGGAAACCGGCGCACCCCGAGGAAACCGGCGCACCCAGAGGAAACCCACACAGATGCAGGGAAAATATGCAAACTCCACACAGTGACCCGAGGGTGGAGTTGAACCTGGGTACCTGGCACTGTGAGGCAGCAGTACTAACCATGGAAATTCAGAAAACCTAAAGATCAGATTTGAAATTTAAACAAAAGGACTGACTAAATTCTTAACATGCACCAGCTTCAAAAGCAAAGTGAACAGTTTGGAGGGAGACATGCATAAGTAAAGACTAGGCAAAGTGGGGTTCATCAATCGTAGCAGTAAGCCAAAGGTACTATGTTGGTAGCGTCATCCGCTCATCATGAGATTAAGCAGATAGAAACAATGTTGATACTTCAAGTTGCCATCTGTTTGGCATTCCAACTTCTTCCCAAGGAAAATGGATGTTTCCTAGCTAGGATAACCCAGAATCATTAAGTTTGACTGAAAGTTTATGAAATTTTCACTTTGCCTTAAGTACACACTTGGATGCTGCCAGTTGTATCTAGGCAAATTGATATAGACGAGAAGCAATATGAGCAATTTTCATGTTCATCTCCAACAGTTGGAATGGTTGATCAAGTTTCTGAACTGTTTAATAGTTTTAATTCTGTGGAATGAGAAACCTATGCTCATTGACTGACTATATTGGTTCTCAGACTAACAATACTTTGATCTTAAAACCTATTTTTATTTTCAAATTCATGGCCTTGCCCCTCCCTATCTCTGTAATCTCCGCCAGCTTCAATGCATTCTTATTTAGTTTGATTGCCTATTAATCAACCAGAGCATGACTAAGAATATGGTCTTGAAATCTTTAAGGAATAAGGAAGCTAGAAAATACAACACTTTCCCAGTCTGAGAAGTAAAGGCTTTTGCCACAAGGGTACAAATGAAGTCTGATCTTAATTGCCTTTATTGGAGTCTGGGTTGCTACTTGAAGCCAGATTTTATATCTGTAGGTTATCAACAAGCTTGATGACGAGAAAAGATTTTGTTTGAAAACTTTTCATGGAATGTGAAAAGTATTGTAGAATTAAAATTATTTTTGAATTTTTTTTCTTTTTTTGTAACTTAACATGATTTTGTTGTGTCAGATATATAATTATCTGTTCTTGTCATTTATAGTTGTCCTGCTAGATTCACTAGATTCAACTCTAGATGCACAAAAGTTGGAGGATGACCAATCTATGATAAAACCTACCACAGAAGAAAATCCTGGACAGCAAGGCCAAGCATCTCAAATGTATACCACAAGTAAGTAATATATGATTATGATCCGATCTACTGTCTACACAACAAAAGAAAATCATTATATCAATTGGTATTTTAAAAAGTACATAGATTTTTGCTCAACCTGCATGTAATGGTTTAGGCAGGGTGCTGCTGCAGCAGGTGGCGGGGTGAGGAAGGGAAGAAAGAAAGCAGCTTCTGCACTCCAGACCTGAACGTCCTTGTGCTTTATGCATGATCAAGAATCAGCTTGCTTGAGGAAAACATCCATCTTCCTTGGGAAGAAGTTGGGATGCCAAACAGATGGCAACTTGAAGTATCAAAGTTATTTCTATCTGTTTACATGAATACCCATGACTGAAATTCAACCTTGAGTAAACGTTATCATCGAATCAAGGTATAGTCAGCGATCTTATGAATATCTATTGGTGTTCATTCGTATATACTTTTAGGAAAGGACTATTAGATTATATAATGAGACTGGACTATAGTTAATGTATACAGTATCTTAGAAATAACAACAGGATCATGCCTCTACTAGAAGTTCACCTTCACAGGGCTAGCTAAGCTCCAGATCGAAGTAATCATCATATTAAGTTTCCATTAATTGTACCCTTTTGCAAGCTTTCAAGGAAGTTCCCCAAGGTGCATGTTTTATGTTGCTTTGGAACTGATTACCATTATAACAAGTAAATTGTAACTTCTAAATTATTTTCAGCCATTTTAATGGTTATTCACAGGTGCATAGGAAATTGATTAAAATACGTATTTGTTTGTGATGAACACAATTTCTCTCTAATGCTGCAACACTGTTAAATATATATTGAGAAATGTTGAGTGTAAATCTTTTTTAACTTGCTTGCTTACATATTAATGCCTCCCTATTTCTACATATTATTGTGAGAAGCGTTTTAAACAAATTCAATGCATTTTTTTTAAAACAAATCAGCCTGACCTTAACACCGAAGGTACCTTACGGACTGTATTATTTTATGATTCTATGACCGAACAACAGATTAGCAAAAAAACAAATCAACCACGGATGAAACACTTTAATATTGCATATTCATGGTCATAAATACTCAAATACTTACATAAACACTTACCAAATTTGGTTTGCACAATGACATAATAATCTCAAGCTATTCCACAGGTTACATTTTTTAATACAAAATGCTGCATCAGCTTACTTTGTTAGATAATCTGTTAATTGTTGATTGATAGGACAGTTGGGAATATAGAAAGTCATGCCTGGCAAAAGTACAGTACTTGGGAACAGAAGATCTTTTATCTGTTTTAAAGTTGCATACACTTATGATTAGCTAAAATTGGTGTTATCAAATATTCTGTTAAACAGAGTAACCAACATGGCATTAGATTTTGAAATCAATATAAGCATTATCTTGTAAATTTTGAAAAGTTTTGCGGCTTTTTATTTTCTCGACAGGTATTTCCTATGAACAAACCAATAGTGATATTGAGGCCTTGCATCAAGCATATTGTGACATTGATCAATCTCTGGAAGCCACAGATGTAGTGCAAAGTATAAGAAATCGAAAAATCATCAATTTTGTTCAAGATCTTCAGAGCCCTGTTACGAACTTAACAAGGAATGTTTCTATGGGAGAATCCGGTAAGCATTAAATTGAGTTAGAACTTGAGATTTTCACATTGCTGTGTGAAATCACAAATCCTAATTGAGTTAATTCATAAGTGGTAAGTATAATCACATAGATACAATGCTTTCAATTTTTAACTCCTGTAAATAGTAAGAAATGATTCAAATATTTACCAGAAGCCAGACATTTTGTAATCAGGAATGTATAAAATATTCAAATCTGATAACCGTATAATCTACAATTCAAACTTTTTTATTGCATTGGAGAAAGTCTTTGTCACATGCAATGTTTCTATGTAATAGACATACAAAGAAATGCATGCAGTTACCATTTTGCTTTTGTTCTGGATAGAGCTGTAGCCTTTATCAAAACTATGGAACCTGATTCTACAAATTGTAAAGGAAAACTCAAGATCTTTAGAGATTTCTAGTCGTGTGCATTGTCCTTGCTGATTCAGTAATTGATATTGTGAATAAGGTTCTCCACATGAAAGAGTTCCTAAAAAAAACCCTATTTGTTTCCTGTTGTGACTAATTATTCTGCTTGCTATCTAAAAGCTATTGTAAATCTCTTTTCACATACAGTTTAAAAAAAAGTCACAAATTACAAATATTATTCTTGGGCTAAACTGCATAGTGTTCATTAAGGATGTAAATTAATAGTACTGCAAGCCACATATCAAAATTTATGAAAAGCCAAAGGTGAGTCATATTGTAGCTGGCAGCATACCTTTACACATAAAAATTGAGGGATTAAATGAAATGATAAAACTGGCAAATGGATTTCAATGTTGGGAAATATGAGATCAATCATTTAAGACCTAAAAGGGACAGAAAAGGGCATTTTCTGTGTGGTGAAATTGTTCCTTGTTCATTGTTTAAAGAGACTTTGGGTTTCAGGTATATAGATCATTAAAATGTCGTAAACATGCAGAGATAATTAATAAGAAGATAATAGAAGGCCCAGGAGTGCCAGCATACAAGAAGGTAGAAACATTCGAAATGAAGGAATTGCAACGTAGGTTTACCAGAATGATATCTGGACCTCAACGGCGAAGAATAGCAGAACATAAAAACATAAGAAACAGATGCAGGTAGAGATGATGGATGTTGGAGCAGATTTGATGGCTTCTATTATGATCAAGGCTGATGTTCGGCTTCAACTGCATTCTCCCATCGACTTCCTCTATCTCTTCGTTCCCTGAGCGGGCAAAAATATGCCTACTGATGGAACATCTGCAACCTTCTGGGATACAGAATTCCAAAGGTTTACCACCCACGGACTTAAGAAATTCCTTATTATCTCAATGCTAAATAATTGACCCCTTATCCCAAAACTGCATCCCATCATTCTAGATTCCCTAGGCAGCAGGAAGAACCTCTCGGTATCGACTCTGTCAATTCACGCCAAATCTTGAATGTTTCAATTAGATCATCTCTCACTTTTCAAACTACAGAGAATATAAGTTAAAATTACTTGGCTTCTCATCATAGGAAAACCCTGTCCTCCCAGGGATCTTTTCAGTGAAATTTTGTTGCACAGCCTCCAATTAAGGTGTATCCTTTATGATCCCCATGGGGGACTGTAAAGTAAGATTACCACATCATTTACTGAGCCCAAAATGAAGATATTACCAGCAAGATTTCACACTCATTTTGAAACTCGATTGATTTGATTTAAAATAAATCAAATGTGAACTAACAAGCAAATGACACTTCAAATAAAATTGAAGATTTCACGTTAAATAGTTGATCAAGCGAATTTGTGTCTTATGCGGCCGCAGGTGTTTGTATCACACTCTGCCTAAACAGGTCACGCTTTAGTTAGATTTCCACGGGATACTATCCTTATTCACACAGGGTAATTCAAGAGTCCTATCTGGTAACAATATTTACCTTAAAGTTTCGTGGTTAATACTTAAGGCACACTTGTACATGTCTTCTTTCTCTTGGGTCACAACACTACCAAATGGTATAGCTCTCCTGAGTTCTTTTTGAACCGGTGAGAAAAATAACACCCTACTTCACAATTTGGTCACTTCTGCAAAAAGAACCAGCTCTTTAGCATCTCCAAACTGTTGACATATCTTTCTAGCCTTTAGATTTTTATAGAAAGCACGCAAAACTGCTGCTAACTCCTTTTCAGCCAAACCAGAAAATTTTACATCTTGCTGAGAGATTTGTTTCTCTGCATAATAATTGCGATCCTGGTGTTGTCTCTGTCTGCTTTCTCTTTCTGTTTGTGTATATGCACCAATTGCTTTCACCCTCCAACTCCTCTGCTCATAGTTTTTGTTTGTGTTTCCAGCCACACAACTTCTTTCTTACCTTTCTCTCTGTTGGTCTGCTTTCAGGTCAAGGGTCGCAGTTCACGTGGGCCAGAATTTCTTATTATCCAAGGAGGGATTCCTTTACAATTGATGCAATTTCTGTTTTGAGCTTTTTTGAAAATAATTAAGATTTTCCTTTTTTCTAAAGAAATTTTTAAACCATTTTAAAGAAATTATGAATTTTCCTTATTTTACTGTTTCCATGTCAAAGATTGTTACGTTACGTCATTGAAGGTTTTACTAACAATAACCAAATCTGCATTGTGATCATCCACTACTTCCTTCAAATGGAAAAATGGAGAATACCACACAGATCTAGTGAAATACAAATGCATTGTTTCTCAGATGCCCAGCAATTAACCCAACTGGTGTTTAGTCATATCTTGCTTTTAATTTCAACATATTTTAAAATTTAATGAAAATGTTCATTACTGCTTGTGCAATTAGGACAGAGCACTAAGATTAGACGGGTAGTTGAAATTATTTAACTAGAGAGTCCAATCCTTTAAGTTTAAATTAGATTGACAGCTTGGTCCACACACTATTGCTTTTGCCACTGAGTCAGAAAATCAAGTGTTCAGGCTTTCTTCAAATATTTGATATAAGACAGTATAGACTGGCACTTTATTGTGGGACTGTGATGGTAATATGTTATCAATTCAATGAGCAGTCACCTTCAAAACATCAGCTGAATGCCAAGATCTCATGGTGCTGTTTGAAGAAATTTTTGAAATTCACCAGTATCTTGGCAACATTTCTCCATCAATGACCTAAAACAAGTCAATTCGTTTATCATTTACCTTATTTGCTGATACAATATATATATATAAATAAACAAGACAGTCAAGTTGCAAGGCTGGTACAATGAAATAAGGTAAATGATAATCCTAATATTTTGTTTCAAATTGTTGATTGATGGAGAAATGTTGCCAAGATACTGAATAAATTCTGTTCAGTTGCCCCAGTTCAAGAACACTGTTCTCATATTAGGTGCTGGCTTAACCTGAGGGTCACTACATCGCAGGCAAGGGGAGAGGTTGAGGAGGAGTGTCATTCACGGTAACCTTATCTAGCGTGAAAATTTAACTTGTGCTGTTGGCATCTCTCTGCATTATGACTGAGCCATCCTGCCAAATGAGCTAATGACCCAAATAGAAGGATGTAGCCAGGTTAAGTGAGTGGGCAAAAAATTGCCAGATGGAATATAATATGGGAAAATGTGAAGTTTTGCAATTTGAAAGGAAGAATAGAGGAGCTGAATATTATTTAAATAGAGAAAGCTTACATAAAGCTTCAGCACATTTTGGGATCCTTGTGTATTAGCACATAAAAGTTAGATCTGAATTCAGCAGCCTATAGGGAAGACCATTGGTATGTTGGCTTTTATATTTAAAGAAATGAGATATTAAAAAAAGGGATGTACCTGGAATACTGTGAATAGTATTGACAGTATCCCTTTCTAAGCAAAGATATACCAGGATTGGACACACTGATTCAGTCAGTTGATTCCTGAGATGGAGTGATTGCTGAGTAGTTTGGTCTGTACCCAGTGGAGTTTAGAATGCGAGGTGACCTCATTGCAACGTATAAGATTCTCCGGGGGCTTCAGAGGGAGATGCAGAGAGGTTGTTTCCCTAGGATCAGAGACAGCATCTCAAAGTAAGGGATCATTCTTTAAGACAGAAATGAGGAGGAATTTCTTCTGAGGGTTGTGAATCTGTGGAATTCTTTACTTCAGAAGGCTGTAAAGACTAGGTCATTATGTAAGGTAATCAAGGGTTCTGGAGAAAAGGCAGTAAAGTGGATTTCAAGATTAACAGATCAGCTGTGATCTCATTGAATGGCAAAACAGACACACTAGTCTGAATGGTCTACTCCTGCACTTACATTTTATGATCTTGTGAACATGGTGATTGTACTCAAGAAGTAGATTCATTGAGTTGTTTTGGGATGCTCTAAGCAGGTTAAAGATGCTACATAGGTTGTTTCTCAAAAATATAATAAAATCTGAAATGACTAAGAAATTAAAAGGGGAGGATCAAAAGGTATATGATGTTCGAACATCTAAGCAAATGCTACATCTCTGAATAAATGTGGTGACTTTCTCCCTTTACATAGTCAAAAATTACCAATTAATCTGCACTTTCTTTTATAGATTTGCTCACTGTCGAAGAACTAATGAAACCTATTAAAGCTGGCGATCTTGTTCCAGGAGGATATGATTCACATTCAATAAGGTATTGTAGTTTGTTCAGTCATACAGTGTTAAAAGCAAATAGTAATAATGTATTACCTTTAATATACCACATGTGCTATGCTTTGCTGAAATGATGCATCACATGTAGAATATTTTAATGGAGGTTAGCATGATCCTTCTTCAGAGACTCTGACTCCCAGGTTACAAAAGATTTGGATTTGTTGATAATAAGTTGGCTTCACCATTCACTTGAATAATGCAACTCACATTAAGGACAGGGGAAAGGGTGATAATAGAATAAATCATTATCTTCCATTTAATTAAAGCCAGAAGAATTTACTGGAACTGTATATGTCCTTGCAATTTTTTTCCATGTGTTTGCCACTTTTTGTTAAATTTGCACCGTTCATTTTCTCATTTGCGACCATGACTACAGTGCTTCAGTTGTGAAGTGCCATTAGTACTGGGGCAGATTTATCTTATCACTCTGTAGCACTGCGTTTGATTATAATTGCATGCTGGAGAAGATCCCCACTTGAAATGGGAACATGCCTGACTGAAATGCTGGTAAATGTAATATATATTCACAGAATTTTCTACATCTGTTTCAGATTTTCCATTTTTTTAATCAAATAGGCTTGGTGTTATTAAGAAATTTCTAAATGAAAAGAGACTATTTAGCCAATGATACTTCTTTTGATGTAAGAGATCTGTCGTAAATCTGGTAATTTAAATTTGGTTAGGAATTTTTTTCCAAAATACACCAAGTGTTGGACTTTTCATTATTTTCCCCTTCTGCAGTAAAAATGCACAGCAGGACTGTGAAGCAACAGAAATATTCAGAAAAAGGTTGGCTAAGGACACCTACAGTGCTGTGCCTTCTGAGTTGCAGCTTGATTCCAATCACTTATCTGGAAGACAAAGCACGTATAAAGAGTTACCTGAAAAATTATTCAAGGAAAACGAGAGCTGCATGAGTAGAATTTGTGATGAAGATGTGGAAGCGTTATCTAATGAAGTTAAATATGATCCTGCAATCAAACGCAATGTCTCTGTTTCTACTTCACAAAATGTTCCTCACCAAGATGATCGGGTATGTGTAATTAATTTGTGCAATACAAGCATTTAATTTGGATGCATTTTAATTATTGGATATTCCTGGGTACTCTCAGCAATATGGTGTGTTTTAAGATAATTTATATTAATTTATTTTATGTTTATTAGCATGACATAACCCTTTGCAAAAATGTTAATGTTCACCCCTTGACCGTATTGCCAAAAAGACACACTTTTATTTTGTATATCATACTCTGTTCTAATGCCAAGTTTGTCAGAGGTGGTTAATGAGAATTGAATTTGTTAGAGTTAAATACTGTTGATAGTTTACTATGTTGCCAGTATCAGGCGTAGTTACCACACGTTGTCCATGACTGTGAGCATTTACAGCAGAGAAGGAGGCCACTTGGACCATCATGTCTACACCAGGCAATAAAGATCTGACTACACAAATCCCATTTTACAGCTTGTGGCTTATAGCCCTGGAAGCTATGGCAGCATAAGTGAATATCTAAATCCTGCTTATGTGTTCTGAGAGTTACTAAGTCAACCACCCTTTCCGGCAGACTTCCATACCCTCTGAGTGAAAGAAATCTCCTCAACTCTCCTCTTAGCCTTCTACCTGCTTGCTTAAATGTATGCCCCTGGTTATTGATCCTTCTACTAATGGAAAAAGGGCCTTCCTATCCACCTTGTGCCCCTCAATCTTGTACAACTTTATCTGGTCCCCACTCAACCTATGCTGCTCCAAGGGAAAAAAACCCTGATAGCTCAGACTCTCCAGCCCAGGCAGCATCCTGATAAATGTCCTGTGTGCCCTTTCTAGTACGAGCACATCTTTCTTGCACTGTAATATAAGATTTACCAGCTGAACTATAATTTGTAATCTCTTGTTCATCATTTCTCAATAATTGAATTTTTATAAAACTGATAAAAATGGAAAATTAAGCATGAGACTATATAGATGACCTTCCTATATTTATAAATATACTTGGGATGCTTTTGAATATTAACATATGCAAACCTCTAAGATAATATCTGTCTTTTATGATTATTTTGAATTTAGAAATGCCTTGTTCCTTGCCATGTATTGATGTAGCCAAATGCTTCACAGCAATCTGTTCAAAGTAGGCAATGAATAAAGTACTCCTACAAGAATGATGTGTATCACATTTAGTAAGCATTGAACAGCAAGAGAATGAGAGTACAGGATCAAAGTCTTTCTATGGCTGACTATAGTCTTGGTGAGACATACCTGGAGTATTGTGTACAGTTTTGGTCTCCTTGCTGAGGAAGGATATGTCTCTTCTTTCTCTCATTTTGGAGAGAGAGCAAAACATGGGGCAAAGAAGTGAAGGAGACTCTCCAGCTACATTGGTTGCATTGGAGATGGCATGTACATCTGTGTACATCTCTGCATGCTTGGTTATGAGATTGTAGACAAATCTTCTCAAACTTTAAATACTCGATTATCAATGATGAGAGCCTGTCCGCTCCCTTCAGAAAATGGTTCTAGAACTTTGACCCAGCAATAGTAATGGAATGGTGATATAAGTTCCAAACCAGGATAATGTGTGGCTTGGATAGCTACTGTTAGTGGGGTTAATATTCCCAAGCTTCTGCTGTCATTATCCTTCTAGGTGGCACAGGTTAGAGGTTTGGAAGGTTGTATCAAAGAAGCCTAGGAAATGGAACACACTGCTGGCACTATACATTGGTTGTGAAGGGAATGGCTGTTGAAGATGTTGCATCAGTTGCCAATTCTCCGAATATCATTGAACGTCGTTGGAGATTGGCATTGCCTGGCACTAATATGATGTGAGTGGTATTTGCCACTTTATCAGTCAAAGAGAGAAAAGATATAGCTTGCAAAGGGTTCTTGTGGTTCATGGTAGTGTCCTTCCTTCTGGGCCACAACATCTCAGATCACATTCCACCAGTTTCAGGCATGTGTGGCATATCCGAACCGTTTAATTTTTGTGCAATTATAAATAATTTTAATCAATGAGAGAATGTTAGCTAGGAATGTAAAAAATGGATAGCAAGAATTTTTACAGGCATAGAAATAGGAAAAGATTAAGTAAAGTGAGAGTTGGTCCTCTAGAGAGTTAGAATGGGGAGTTAATAAGGCTGATCAAGATGGTGGATAAGTTGCCAGTCAATGGTAATTCTACTAAACATCATCAGATGATGATTAGATTCTGAAGATGAGCATTGCCTGGCACTTGTATGATGCTTGCCACTTTCTCAGCCCAAGGTAGAAAATATATTTCTGGGTAAAGGACTCTTGTGGCACAAGGTAGTGTCCCTCATATAGCATCTCTACTATACAGAAAGAGGCTATTTGGCCCGGTGAGTCTGCACTGACTCTCTAAAGAGGATCCCACTTGGATCCAGCACTCCCCACCCTATCCCTGTTACCCCACATTTGCTATGGTCAATCCACCTAACCTGCACATCTTTGGGATAGTAGGAACTGCCGATACTGGAGAATCTGAGATAACCAGGTGTAGAGCTGGATGAACACAACAGGCCAGGCGGCATCAGAGGAGCAGGAAAGCTGACATTTCGGGTCTGGACCCTTCTTCAGACATGGGGGAGGGGAAGGGGACTCTGAAATAAATAGAGAGGGGGGGGAAGGCAATGATGGAAGGTGGATAATGGAGCAGATAGGTGGAGAGAAGACGGGCATGTCAAGGAGGCGGGGATGAGGCTGGTAAGTAGGAGGTGGGGGTGGGGGTTGGTCAGTGAGGTGGGAGGAGCGGATAGGTGGGAGAAAAGATGGACAGGTCAAGGAGGCGGCGATGAGCTGGGCTGGTTTTGGGATGAAGTTGGGGGTGGGGAGATTTTGAAGCTTGTGAAGTCCACATTGAAACCATTGGGCTGCAGGGTTCCCAAGCGAAATATGAGGTGCTGTTTCTGCAGCCTTCGGGTGGCATCGTAGCACTGGAGGAGGCCCAGGATGGACATGTCATCCAAGGAGTGGGAGGGGGAGTTGAAGTGGTTCGCAACTGGGAGGTGCAGTTGTTTGTCACGAACTGAGTGTAGGTGTTCCACAAAACGGTCTCCAAGCCTCCGCTTGGTTTCCCCGATGTAGAGGAGGCTTGGAACAAGGGATACAATATACCACATTAGCAGATGTGCAGGTGAACATCTGTTTAATGTGGAAGGTTTTCTTGGGGCCTGGGATGGGTGTGAGCAGGGAAGTGTAGGGGCAGGTGTAGCACTTCCTGCAGAAGGGTCACCGGACCCGAAACGTTAACTCTGTTTTTTCCTTCTCAGATGCTGCCAGATAGAAATAAGGATGTTATACTTCAGTTAATCAGGGCATTGGAAAACCACATCTTGTATGCTGTATGTAGTTTTGGCCTTGTTTATTTAAAGAAGAATATAAATACATTGGAGGCAGTTCATAGAAGATTTACTAGCTTGACATCTGGAATGAGTAGGTTGTCTTAAAAGAAGAGATTAGACAGGTTGGGCTTGTTTCCACTGGAATTTAAAAGTATGAGGAAGAGTAAAGATTTGTAGCTTAATGAGAGTGCGAAATATTAGATTAGTAAATTTATATGTTTTAAATGTCACTTATTTCCTGCACGTTCCCATATTGCTCATTTTTGGCTGTAACTTGACCAGTAATCTTTTCTCTTGTAATGAATGAATAACAAATGCACATTTATGGAGTGAACATACAAATGTACAATTAGAAGCAAGAGTAGCCTGCTTCACTATTTTATGGGTGATCTATTTGTAACCTCAACTCCACATTCCCACCAACCCCTGGTAACCAATGTGTCCACTAACTCACTAGTAGTTACTTTGAAGATTCTGGAATGAAATTCATCAGGATCCAGGGATTTGTCATCACACACCTCCAATGGTTGCTCAGTATCACTTCCCTGGTGATTCTAATTTTCTTTAGTTCCTCATTTCCACGTCCCAAATTGCAGCTGTTTCTTGAATATTCATTTGCATTCGTGTCCACTGTAGAGGATACAATGTACATGTTCAGTTCGCCTGTTATCTCCTCCTTTTTTCATTACTAATTGCCAGACTCCCATTCTATAAGACCAATGTGCACTTTAGTAAATCATCTCGTCTTTAAATTCTTACTCCTGGTTTTATACTTTATATTTTCCCTCTTTATTAATCTTTTAGTCTTTCTTTGCTTTATATTCTACCCAATCCTCTGACCCACCACCTATCTTTGTGCTGTTACAGTGTATGCATTTTAGTTGAGTTTATTGCTATCTTTAATTGTTGGATGATGGATCCTTGCCTTGAATCGACTGTATTGGATTTGACTCCTCTTGAAGTGAAAGCCTTTGAGATTATTCAAAGTATGTAAAGCAATCTCCAGCACATCATGAACAAAGTCTTTTACGTAGACACCCCAGCTGTGAAGTTTGAATACTTTGTATGTTTCTAGGGTGACATATTTCTATGTTTATAATTAAACCTCTTCAATTACCACCATGTTCTTGCCTTGCTTTGACTGTGAGGTGTTCAGGAAGCCTGGGAAACGCATCAATTTACAGTTAAATTCACGTGCACATTAATATCACTATTAATTGGTAGTAAAATCCGAAAGAGTTGCAGATTCAGTAAATCAGAGATAAAAATAGAGAAATTGCTGGAAAAGCTCAGCAGGTCTGGCTGTGACTGTGGAGAGAAATTAGAGTTAACGTTTTGGGTTGAGTGACCCTTCCTCAGAACCCGAAACGTTAACTCTGAATTCTCTCCATAAACGCTGCCAGACCTGCTGAGCTTTTCCAGCAATGATTGACAGTAGTTGCTTGCATACGGCCTAACACACTGCAGTTAAATGTGAAAGTCAGCATTTTGCAGCCAGTGTCCTGACAGAGTCAATTTCCCTAATTTTAATGCCCTTGGCATGTTTTCAAACCAATGCATCCCTGCATATTCAAATTCAGGCCTTATTTTTTTGTATTAGCCAAAGAAAGGCTGTGAGATCTCCTTGGCTCACTCAGCTGCACAGCAGTTGTTTTTTAGAAATATTGTTTTATATTTGAATCAGCTTAATTTAAAGATTTATTTCAGCTTTACTTCTTGCCAGATGTTCTGGTCAACAGATTAGATTCTAGTTGTTAAATTGCCTTTCGGCAAACTAAATGATTTATTCTAACAATGCTTCACCTCTACTTGCGCACATTCATGTATGTTTGTTTCTTATTTGAGATATTACAATTCTTCATATTATTATCAATACACAGATTTCATCAAAGACGAGAAGCCCTAAAGTTAAAATCAAACCCTTTGGTGGGAGCTATGCATTTGTCAAGAGTTCAGGATATGGCAAAATGAGTCAATCAAAGAAAGAATCCTTTGGTGATGGTGAAAAACAAACTCATCAGAGTCCACAAAAGCAAACTGCATCTATTAAGAGTTTTAAAGCCAGATCCCCATCTGAGCATACAAAAAACAAATCAAAAGGTAAAGTTTTACTAAAAATAAAAACCATTTTTAAAAAGATGAGTATTGATGGTAAGCCAGCATGTAGTGTTTTTCCTTGGTTTGCCTTGAAAAGATTGTTCAATTTCTGCAGTCTGCCTCATAAAGGTATCCCTGAATTGCTGTTGGTAAGTTTCAGGATTTTGATTTGGCAATGTAGAAGTACCAATGACCAAGTTTGTTTTTTTTTAATTTTGAAGGGTTTTGTGGAGTAATATTTTGTCTGAGGAGTTATGTCATCACAAAAGTTATCAAGTTGCCTAACCAACTGCTACTCAGGACAAAAGCAATTCACACCAAGTTACTTCAAGAACAGAAAAATAAAACTATTTGTCATAATACCTTTAACAAGAACAGTGAAGAAAGGATTTCAAATTAGTGCAATTTCAACTACTTCAAAAACCCAAGTGTGGATACACGCAATCATGATTAAGACCGACAAAAGACAAATGGTTTAACACATGTACTGTGGGTTGAAAAAAGAATACAAACAAAGTAAATAAATTTCCAAAGGTCAAAAATCCAGACCACAAAGTGGAAAGTTATTTTTCCAACAATCCTTTTGATTTTTGCAACAATGATGATATGTTTTAAGGTGATTCAATGATTGATCAGATGAACTTGGGTCTTTTCTTGCATAAATTCTATCAGTATGCTCTGGAGGTTTTTCAGTCTTTGCTGCTCATGGCACTTACTGTTTTTTAAACAGCAGTTCAACCAATCAGAGAGCTGTTGCTCGGCGGAGTCTCCTTTAACCAAAAGAGTCTCCATATGGTTCAGACTCGCATTGTCCCCTTACTGCTTCCAAAAAGCAACATGTATTGCACAATTCACCAATAGGCAACGCTTGATTTCCAAATTGCAAAAAACATTTCCTAGTATTCCAGTTATAGCAGTCCAACTTCCATTTCAGTTCGTAGTTCTTACAATTTTTGGAACAAGAATGATCAACTTTAAGTTCTTTTAGAAAGAAAACAAAATGAAGTGGCCAAAGCTCTTGTTCTTGTGAAAGCTCAATTAAGTATTTTCTGTGGAGAATAAAATATTGTTTGTCATCTGTTTATTTTGACCCTTTTAATAGCACATTATTTTGCAACATTAACTGCCTACAATGTTTGTTGCAAAAATTTTAGGATCTGCTGCACAGGAGGTTTTCTCGTAAAAACATAGGACCAGTCAATTTAGTGTTTTATTATTTTTAATTGAAATATAGTAATCACTTTGTAATAATTTGTTGAATATTATAGACTTCTCTGCCAGCCAAAGATTTTTATCCTCCTTTAGTAACACTAATCTAAGCCACACACTTTGGTTAAAATGGAGGACTTTTTCATTGTCTACCAGCTAAAGTTTACCTTTCATCCTTGCTCAAACAGGTCAATTACATGCAACACAGACAATCAGACCAGCAAAGCACAGATTTAATGAAAATGACCTTGGACGTCCGTTATTTACCTCCGTGCAGTCATTTACTCTAAATCATCAGCACCAGATCAACAGTAAGACAGACCATGCAAAGTTGCTTGGTGTCCACACACAGGATCAGGTAAAATTCAAAACAGTTTTACGTATTCAGTGTTTCATTTGCTACATTTTAACAACAGTAACTCTATGTAATAGTCTTGGGTTAAAGAAATGACTAAGTTCTTGCCACTGTGAAAAGTGAAAAACCAAATAGGAAAAATTATTTACAAAGAAATTTAGAGCAAGGAAAAATGAGAGGAGGTGCTGATGGTGTGGTAGAAAGGGAAGATAGAACCATGTATTGTTCTAGTGCCAAAAGACTGGTTGTGGATTATGAGACTTAATTCAAACTTGACTTGAATAATGAGCTAAAGCAGCACTGGATTCAGGGTCAGAGACACTTGGATATTAGCAGGAGCTGAACATTTTGAATTTGATTTTATCACCTTTTAAATTTATTCATTCATCATTTAATGATTGAAACCTACTAAAACCAATGAAAGAGCCTTGAAGCCAATGGTGTTTGTGGAAAATATAATTGATCCTTACTAAAGATTGAATTTTGGAATAATTTTCAGTTAATACAAAGCCAGGAATAAAAGAGAAGTTGGGACTGTTCTCCTTTGAAAGAGAAGGCGGCTGGGAGGAGATTTAATAAAGGTTTTCAAAATCATGAGCAGGCTGGACGCAGCAGCTAGGGAGAAGCTGTTCCCACTCTTGAAAGAGAAAAAGAGCATGACAGATTTCAACTGATGTGCAAATGAAGCAAGGGTGAGGAAAAACAACTTTCACACAGTGAGTAGGAATTCACTGCCAAAAAATGTCATGGAGGCAATTGAGGCATTCAAGAGGGCATTGGATAATTATTTGCAAGGAAATGAGGGAAAAGGCCAGAGATTGGCACTAAGTAATAGAATAGGTGCAGGCATGATAGGCCGAATGGCCTCCTTCCACATTGTTATAATTCTGTGATTCTGAATCCTGAATGTAAAAGAAAATGAAAATTGATGAGGACGAACCGAGTGCTTATAGCAGCCTCATCAACAGATCAGTTAGTTCACCACAAACTGGTGTTCAAAATCGGGAATTTTCCCATACCCTGCCTTCTGCTCTAGGGCTGGTATCAATATGAGCAAATCAGCGTCTTTTGCACAAGATGTCCCCCAACATCACAACTATCAAACATTGCCAATGCCAATACAGTGCTCTTCTACCTTTCATGCGAACATATGAACAAGCGACAAGAATAGGCCACTTGGCCCTTTTGAGCCTGCTCTGCTGTTCAAGTAATCATGGCTGATCTGATTTTAACCTCCACTCTACATTTCTGCATATCCCTGATAATCTTTCATTCCCCTTGGTAATCAAGAATCTTTCTACCTCCGACTCAAAAATATTTAAACCTTCTTTATCCACTGCCTTTCAAGGAAGGGAATTTCTTAACCAATGAACATCTCCCATCCCCTTCCTCATCCAGAGTGCGACAATTCTTCATTCCTATCTATCCGTACCCATTCCTAATGCATTCACAAGCTCCTCAACACTATTGAGTTACATCTTTAATATTGTGACATGCAGTATTTGTCATCTATCACTTGCCACCTACATTCTGGAATATATTTATTTCATAATTTCTTCTAGTATTTTTGTATTTTGTATTTCTTTTGTTTAAAGTTTGAAATAACTTCAAGTATTTAAAGAAATGTACAGTCATCAAGCCACTCAGTGCAAGTTCCCACTTGACAAATGTACACCTAAAATCATAGAAATAATCAAAACCATTCCTGAGACTCCGACAACAGTGTTTAAAACAAAATATAATTCACTTAAAAATTATTACAAATAATTCACCTTGATGCTATATTTGACATTACCCAACAAAATTAACTCCCTGACTCTTAAGGATATTTCTGATTTTGATAGTTAGTTACAAGAGCTGTTGAGGAAATATCAAAAGATCAGGGACTGCGTTCAACAGAACCCAGTAACACAGCAAGAGAACTTTCCCTGCTCCAAAAACTGGAAGAAGCGCATGAGAAATGGAACATAGAACATAACCTCGTGGAGAAGTTGAAAGAAAAATTGGCAATGAAAGAAAAGGAACTTATTGGTAAAGATGAAGAGCTGAAAAAAGTTCCACAACTAAATGAAGAGATTTGCATTCTTCAGACAAAGGTACTTATGCTCCACAGGGTTCTCCAAAGCTAGAACAAGAGCAAAAGAAGCTGTGTGATTGCTATTGCATAAAGTTGTAGCATTGTACATTGATGGTTTCATTTAGATCTAATTTATCAATGATATTTTGTAATACAGGAGAAATGAAGGTATTTAGAGTTTCGAGATAATTGTACTGTTATTGTGTTTTTCGATTCTGAATTACTGTACATGTGACCCACTAAATTAAGAAAATTAATATGAGCATAATGTAACAGACAAGTTTGGATTTTGGTCATTTGGAAAACATCAAAGACTTCACATCGATCCATTGGATACCAGTAGCATTTGCAAAGTATTTTGACAGTGCAAATGTACACCGTGTTACCTTAAATAACCCTAAAACTGAATCTTTTATGTTTATGTTCTTAAACCACATTACTTTAAAGGCCCAGTTTTAATTATTTTATTTACTCATCATGAGGAAAAATAAAATTCAGCCCCTCAAAGTTTATCCTCCAGTAGCCTGGCTATCCTTTCGTGGCATTCATTTGCTGATTTCGTGTCCCCACTACCCTGTCCGGCAGATTTATTTCCTCTGTGTTACTGAGTCAGAGAATCTGCTTTAAATGTACTTTTTCGCTAATTTTACATTACATTCATTCAAAATTTAGAGAGAGAGAGTTGCTGTAAAACATGTAATAGGTTTCCGTTAAAGACACTGCATTGTATATGTCAAGTCATACCTTTTAATGTATTTTCCCAAACCACCTCAGACGATTGGCCGAAATGCTTTCATGAATTTACTGAGTCAAATTGTCCCTCTGCCACCCTCTCCCTCTCTGCACTGTAACCACCACCTTTATCTAGTCCTAGACTCTTGAAACTGATTTGTAATCCTAGTCCTAAGCACTGTAGTTTGTAGAACTGCTGTGACCACTGGCAGGTGGCTTTCTGAGACGAGGCTCACTCTTACTAGGAACAAAGCCCTGTCTCCAGCAAGTAATGTTCATTGAAGCTTTAAAGTGCTGAAGGCAACTCATGACAGCAGCAATGTTTTGCCTTGACTTTAAAATGGCGAGCAGCAAACTCCATGATCCAGGAACCCCTAACCATTGGGCCGCAACTGATGTGCCTCCAAAACTCCACTTTGCATATTTCATTGGCTTAATATTTTAAGCAATCCATCAAAATTGGGGTTAGCTTGCACACCTTTCAATGGGTTCTTAGATGGCTGGTAAGACTTTTTTTTGCTTCTTTTCCTCATTAATTAAATCAAAATTGTCTGATTTTCGATCCTTTCATGAGTGGGAATAATTTCCCTCTATTTACTCTGTCCAGACCTTTTTTTTTGTATAATTTTTGAGTATTTCTGTCAGATCTCCTTTCTGCTTTCTTTTTTCCAACAAAAACATTCCAGTATTCTCTAATCTGTTTTTATAATTCAAATTCCTTATCCCTGGAACCATTTCCAAAGACCTCTTCTGTATTCTGGCCAATGCATTCACATCTTCCTAAAGTGTGGTGCCCAGAGTTGGATGCCACACTCCACTTGAGCTGAGCTACTGTCTTATGCAAATTGTGTAACTTCCTTGTTCTGGCACTCTAAGTTTTTATTATTGAAACCCAAGATGCTGTGCATTTTATCAATTATTCTATCAGACTATCTTGTTCTCTTTAACGACTCATGTACAATACACAAAAGTTCCATTAATGTTAACCTCCTTTTTGAGGTGTATCCTTTATTTTATACTGCCTTTCCGTGTTCTTGCTACAAAAATATATAATGTCACACATTTCTGTATTGGACTTAATCTGCTGCCTATCCACCTACTCCTCCAACTTGCATATGTCCCTTTCAAATTCTACAATACCCTCCTTTATAGTCAATATATTATCAGGTAAAGCAAGCCTTCTAACAATGTCCCCTGTGGACCTCCACCACAAACTTACCCCAGCCAAAAAAAGTAATTAACTTCTCTCACGAGTCTGTTGTGGAGCACTCTATCAGATGTCTCCTGGGAGCCTATGTACACCATGTCAACAGAATTGCTCTGATCAACCCTCTCACATCTTCAAAAAAATCCAGCGATTCGTTCAACTTGATTTTTCCTTTATGAATCCATGCCAGCTCCCTTAATCAACCCTCATTTGTCCATGTCACTATTAATTATGTTCCAAATTATTCCTTCAGAAGTTTTCACACCACTGAAGCTTTGTAGTTGCTTGTTTTGTCCTTGCCCTCTTTTTTGAAAAAGGGTGTAATGTTTGCAATTCTCCAATCCTGCAGCACAACCCCTGAGTCTAAGGAATACTGAAACTTTATTTGCCAGTGTCTGTACAATTCTAACATACTTTCTTCCCACGACATTTTTGGGTGTATCACATTTGGTCTCAGTGCTTTGTCAACATAAGTACAATTTGCTAATGCGCTCAATGCTTTCCTAACTGAAACTACTCCATTTTGGTTAGTCACAAACCAGGGACTTCCCTGAATTGGCCAAGATATTTGATCTGTTCAGAGATGGTTTGTAAATGTATGTAAAGTATTTCTGCTGTGATCTTGAGAGTCACCTGCTGTGACCAGATTCATGTAAAGCAGTGGCTTTTGGAGCCTGATGTCAACCATATAAGATGCATTGGTTTTGTGCCTCAATGCTGGGCATGTTGGTTTGGAAAAAAATTCTGCTTTTGGACCAACTTTTTTACCAGTGGATTTGGAGGATCTTGTGAAGGCAATGTGGTGGTACTGTTCCAGTGCTTTGAGTTGCCTGATGTAGGTTGTCCACATCTGCAAAACATTTTTGGGAGCCAGGGGACCACTGCTGCCCATTAACCATTATCTTATTCTTGGTTGAGAGATCCTGGTCCTCAAATACTATGTTCATGAGATTATCAAAAGTTGAGCTGTTGCATTGGAAACAATAATAAACTGTCTAAGTCTGCCTTCATCTAAAGGAAGCTCCCATGTGGTCCACATTTTCCAGAATCTCTCTGTTGATCTTAATCAATGGGAAAGTATTGGGCCGTATGAGCTGATTGGAAAAGGACCTTTAATTTTTACACATAAACATCATCTGCACCTGGTGCTGAATAACTGAAGTTGAAGTTTAAGTGATTTGGGTTTTGGATTGAAGACTGCATAAGTTGAACAGTTTCATGTCTGTTCTAACTAAATAGGTCTTTTTCTGATTGGCAAGATGTAACTATGGGGTGCCATAGGGTTCCGTCTTCAGACCCAACTACTTACAAATTATATAATGACTTGGATGCAAAGGTAGAAAGTGCAATAGTCAAATTTGCAGATGACACCTAAAATAGTTGTAAAGTAAGCTACAATGAAGAAATAAATTTACAAATGGGTATTGATAGATTAGGTAAACGGGCCAAATTTGGCAAATGAAGTTTGACGTAGATAAGTATAGGGTATCGAATTTGGTCGGAGAAATAGAAATGCAACAATATCAAAATGGAGAGAAACCTCATGCTTTGATGCATGGGGATACCCAGATCCTTTTGCATGAATTATAAAAGCTAGCATGCAGGTAAAGCAAGTAATAAAGAAAGTAAATGGAATTTTGACATTTAAGTCTTAACAGCATGTGAAAGAAAGGAAGTGTTGCTGCAACTGTAAAAGGCATTAGTACTGCACCTGGAGTATTGCATACAATTTTGGTCCCTTGAGGAGGGATGTTGTTGTATTGCAGACAGTTCAGAGGATGTTACCACATTGATTCCAGAGATGAGGGCTTTGTGTTATGAAGAGAGATTGTACAGTTTAGGCCTATACCCTCTGGAGTTTAAAAGGATGAGAAGAGGTCTAATTGAGGTATATGAGATGTTAAATGGGATTGAAAAAGTAGACCTAGGATGTTTCCTCGTGGGGCAATCTAGAATGAGAGGTAGTAGTTTCAGGATTAGGGGTAGCAAATTTAAAGCAGAGATGAGAAAAAATTACTTCCCTCAAAGGGTCATGAATCTGTAGAATTCACTATCCTAGAGTGTAGTGGATCCTGGGACATTGAGTAAGTTTAAGGATTTAACAGACAGTTTTTAATTAGTAACGGGTTGAAGGGTTCTCGAGAGCAGGCAGGAAAGTGAGGTTGAGGCTGAGATGAGATCAGCCCGCCATGATCATATCAAATAGCAGAGATTAGCTGAATTGCCTATTCCTGCTCCTGGTTCTTATGTTTTTAGATAATTTGCTAATGGTGAGGTGTAAAGTTGCAGTGAGGAAGGTGAAAAGGACAATTGGTGCAATGACACCGCATCAGTTAACACCAGTCTTCATTGAAATGGTGTCCCTAGTGATTTCATTGGTGAGGACCTCATCTTGTATATCACTGTGGACTGCGAGCTGCAGAGAATGAAAATACTAGGTCCACCTTAAAGAAGAAGAGGTGCTGGAGGTGTTAAAACACAAAGGTAGATAAATCCCCGGGACCTGATAATGTATCCCAGGGCACTATGGGAAGCTAGGGAAGAAATTGCAGGGCACCTAGCAGAGATATTTGTATCATTGATGGCTATGGGTGAGGTGCCGGAAGATTGGAAGATGGGTAGTGTTGTGCCATTTTTTAAGATAGGATGCAAGGAAAAGCCAGGGAACCACAAACCAGTGAAACTAACGTTAGTGGTAGATAAATTGTTGGAGAGGATTCTGAGTGTCAGGATTTACATGCTTTGGAGAGGCAAGGACTGATTAGGGATAGTCAGCATGGCTTTGTGTGTGGAAAGTGTGTCTCACAAACTTGTTCCTTCAAAAAAGATGACCAAGAAGGTAGATGAAGACAGAACGATAGACATTGTCTATATGGACTTTAACAAGGCCTTTGACAAGGTTCTGCATGGTAGATTGATTAGTAAGGTTAGATCACATGAGACCCAGGAACAGCTAGCCAGTTGGATACAAAATTGGCTTGATTGTAGGAGGCAGAGGGTGGTGGTAGATGGTTGTTGATCAGACTGGAGGCCTGTGACCAGTGGTGTACCATGAGGATCAGTGCTGGGTCCACTGCTGT